ACCATAATTAGCTCCTAGTCATATTGGCTTAGAAATTTGCAATTTGTCATTTTCCGTCAGTCTTACTACAGTGTCATGCATTAAATAGGAAATTTATTGAAATTTTTAAGCGAGATTCAAATGGTCTAATCTGATCTCACCAGACCTAGAAATGGGCTGAATGCATTAAAGATTGGTGAAACTTAACTGTTTAACTCTAGGCGACTTATAAAATGAGCCTATCTCCAAAGAAAAGCAGGCTGTTCCTTAACTGTGTTTCATCTCATTTAAAAAATAGTTTGAGTCAGTGGGTTGTCACAAAGGTTTTGAGTAATCGGATCTGTTTTACAATGTGAATGTAGTTTAAAAAAAAAAAAATAAATGTATTTCTGTGATTAAAAGCTGAATTTTAGCATCATTACTCCATTCTTCACCGTCACATTATCCTTTAGAAACTCTAATATAAGGATTTGCTGCTTAAAAAAAAAAAAAAATAAAATAAAATAAAAAAAAAAATATATATATATATATATATATATATATATATATATATATATATATATATATATATATATATATACATTATTAATATCAGTGTTAAAAAACGTTTGGGCTGCATTTTACTTTTGTGGAAACTGTGGTTCAGTACCATTTAAATTGTAATCACTGTTTCCTCATCAAAGATGCATTGAACTGTTTGAGTCAAAGTAAAAACATTGACTTATTTTTAATTTGGCTAAATTCTAATATATTTTGTGGTTTTGAACTTTTCAACAAACAAGCAACACACCAAATTATGAAGCAGAAAAAAATATTGCAGCATGGAAAAAAATGTATATGGAAAAATATACAATCTTTATGAATGATAGTACCAAAAGTAATTGATCAAAATAGAAACCGAACCAGCAGTGTCAGTGATACTTAGGGTGCTTTCAAACCTAGACTTTTGTTTCGGAACCTTTCTCGTTTGCCCAGTTAGCACGGTTCGTTTGGCATATGTGAATCCAGCAATCGCGCTCAGATCTGCGCCAAAACACGTTAATAACGAACATTTAAACACAAGTATTTATGTATATAAGGCATCTGTTTTATGAGAAGTGCTTGTCATATGATATGTGATTGACCTGTATGACTTTACAGTGAAATTTCCTCAAATAAAAATGACATCGTCTGAAACATTCTGTCGTACACCATGTCCACCAAAATGGTACCCTTTTGGCAGTGGAAACGCAAGCCTAATAAAAGTGACCGTTCCATATCGTACTGTACCACTCTGTGGAAATGGGCCATTAGATATTGCTTGACACTATTAGCAGGTTTGGCATGCTGGGAGAGGCGTTGACGGTTCATTCCGCTGCGGTGTCCCCGGATTAATAAAGGAACTACGGCAAAAGGAAAATGAATGAATGTTATGATAAGCACTTGAAGATACATTATACAGTATAACTCAGCATATCTTGACAGCCACAATGAGAGTTTCTCTCGCCATGATTTAACGGTAAATAAAACAGTTGTCATGCCAACTTTCTAATATGAACAGAGGCTTGCCATGCTTCAGAACTTTTCTAATTGGTCCACTGCTTTTGGACCTGACAGTGATGAGCTGTGCTGCATGTGAAAATGTAAGATTTGTCAACTTGACACTGCGTCTAAAAGATTAATGAAGTGAGCATAATGGTAAAACATGTTTGTCAATTGCATGTTGACATTGAAAAACAATAGAAAAGTAGCGCATTGGAGAGAAAAACATGCCGAGTCTGATTCTGAAAATTTAACTTTGAATTGCAGAAATAAATGTAATTTGTAAACTATAGTCAAACAGGTATTTTATTTTGTAATAATAATAAAATAATAATACAAATGTAATTATTGAACCAGTTGTATTATATTTTTGAGCAAACAAACACAGCCTTGGTGAGCAAAATAGGCTTAGTTTAAAAACATCCTAGACTTTTGACCTCTAGTGTATGCCACCCTTTCATTGACAGTGATAACTAAATATAAGTAAAGCTGGCCCAGACTTTCTCCCATATTAAGAAAGAAAAACATACTCTGTGCCCAAAGTCTTTAATGGTTATGAGGTTTTAATGGTTAATTAAATACATTCAGGATGATAGTTGTTCCAGAAATGTATTTACTTTCATCTCTCTGTCAAACTTTTACTGTAATGAAAGATGTTAATAACTTTAATTTAATAACATTTGTTTTTCACAGTTGCAATATTTTAACAAACAGGGAAATTGAATCTAGGATAATATCAAATTAAAAGTATATGTATTTTATCCCCTTGCCATTGGATTACCCATTAAAGTCTAGTTACTTGAGCACTGATGAAGCTACTGTCTCTTGAATGGTACAGCTCATTTAGTCTTTTAATATAGACTAATGGAAGTGAGCTGTGCTGGAGAGTTTCAAAAAGGCTTTGCTGCCTATGGGACTAAATAATTTTCTTGTTTTACGAGTGATTTAAAAGCTCATAGAATTAAAGGTAATTTCTGCGCCACTAATGGCAATAAATGCAAAAATAATAATGACTTTTTTTCAAAGTTACCTAACACTGCCTTATAGGTTACTTGTGCATCTCATATTAAACTATAGGGAAAACAAAAGTATATCAGAGAAACCATCTTAAAAGGCTGTTCATTCTTTCATAATTTTTTCTTTGGCTTAGTCCCTTTATTTTTCTGGGGTCGTCAAAGCTGAATGAACTGCCAACTTTTCTAGCATATGTTTTAAGCAGTGGATGCCCTTTCAGCTGCAACCCAGTACTGGGAAACATCCATACACTTACACACATACACTACGGACAGTTTAGTTTATTTAATTCACCTAGAGCGCATGTCTTTGGACTTGTGGGAAAAACCGGAGCACCCAGAGGAAACCCACACCAACACGGGCAGAACATGCAAACTCCACACGAAAATGTCAACTGACCCTGCTGTGACTCGACCCAGTGACCTTTTTTATGATTGTTGTTTTAAATATTATTATTTATGCATTGGCTTTCATAATTTATTTTCATGACCGATTTTAGTAAAAAAAATAAATAAATAAAAAATTTGTAAAGGGAAAGTTCACACAAAGCTGAATTACACTTTGCAAATTTTATTTTCATTCATGAGTTTTATTTTTGTTAAAGACGAAAGAAGTTATTTTGAAAATATATGCACCAAAATATATAACTTATATCAAAGTCCCTTTGAGGCAAGTCATTTCACTCAGTGGCCAACTTTGAAACGTCTCTCAGGCAGTATGCTTGGGCATTTTGTCTGAATGGGGGGTAACACATTCTCCAAAACTAATGGCCAAGCTTACGATTACATCTCATGTTATGAATGACCAATAAAATTAAACAACAACTGTCTATTTAGTTTCATTTCTAAATGTTCGGATCACACAAAATCTGCAGAAACTCACACCTTGTGCGAACCCTCCCCTGGAGAATTGCCATTCCATAGCAATCGCTGATTGGCTACTGTACTAGAAGGTGGGCTTTATTCACCATATATCGATCACTGATTGGATTCTGTACTAGAAGGCCGGGCTAAATTTGCCATATTGACAGTTACACTTTTCCCCATTCAAAAGTATACGGGTGACATGTCTTGTGTAAATACCAAGTACGCAAAGTTCGGACTTGCGTCCTTGGAAGTTCAGACTTGCCAAGTTCAGACTTGGTAGAACGAACTCCCGAGGACGCGAAGACACAAGGTGGGTACTTCTTCAAATGGAACAGCAGTGTACTTTATAACGTCACTTACCTCACCATGGATTCATCAGTTTCACTGTACATTAACAATAAAATGATTTAATTAATAGTATATTAATATTATAAATCGACATTTTTGATTTAAGAAAATGTACACATATATTCATATAAATGTGAATTAAAATGAGTTATTATACACATGTCTTTAATTATCAGATTTATTAAACTACAATGGTATTCATACACACAATAAGAAATAAAGACATACACGATAAGAAATAAAGATTACGTCAAGCAATTTGGTAAACAAAGACAAACAGCATACAACACGGTAACATAATTAAAGATAATTATAAAAGGTAACAGAATAACACTGCCAAAATAATACACCTGAGAACAAATAATAGATTTATAAGGCCAAAAACTGTCCGTTAGATATTCCCAAGATGTATTAAATATCCTGTTTTAACTACAATGGAGAGATGGGATCCAGCGGTACGTCCGAGATGGCCTGGCCGAAGTAAAGCTGCTCTAGCGGGGGAGCTGATGACGGAGCTCCCGCTGGCAGGCTGGGAGTCGGAGTCCGCATAAGCTGAGCCACATCGTTAAAGAAGCGCTATCTTAGTGAATAAACTGCCGATTCGAGTTCAAAACAACTACATTCTCGCCTGAAAAACTGTTAAATTTTTATTTTGTGACACAGTACAGGAGCAGTTTTAAAACCGTGCGGGTTTCCTCCTCCGCTATTAGAGCTTGCTGGTTAAGCTGCAATGCATTCTGGGATACCTGAGCTTCGCAAGTTCGCACAAAGTCACCTCTCGATGCATCCTTGGCCAAAGAACAGAGCAAGTACACATCCGGGAATTTCATGTGTACTTGGAAAGATGTGAACTTTGAATTAGAACAGTACTTTGGCGACGGTTGATGGCGTTTCACGAGGACACAAGAACGCAAGTACAGACAAGAACGCATATTGAGAAACAGCCTATTATTTTTACTGAGAAATGGATTAAAATATTTAAATTTACATATGTTTGCTGGGCACTGTTCAAATCCATTAACCATTTATTTAAATATATTAAATGTATAAAATCTTTTTTCATTTTCATTGAAACCATTAAAAGCAGGAAAAAGTTTTGTTCAAGAAAAGGTACTTTCAGAATGTTTGGAATATTTGAAGTTTTTTAAGATTGATTGATTTTCTTAAATAACCTTTAATGATGTGGCAGAATGTCCTTGGTTTGATTGAAATCAAGCTGCCTCCTAGAAAATAGCCTGTTTGACTAATGGCCTCTCTCTTCGTTGTTCTCAGGGGAAGTGGTCAAAGTCAACATGTGGCGGATGCTCCTCTGTGAAGCCACCGCTGCGGTGATGGCCAAAGGTTTTGACATTCTGGGTATCAATCCAGTTCAGAGGATGTAAACGGGTCAGCGCCTTCCTCCTCTAAACAAGAGACCTTTTTTCACAAAACCCATCAATGTTCCTGCGGATTCTTAAGGTATACCAAATAAAAGTCATACGGCTGACCGTAACAAAAGCTTTGACTTCCTGGTCATTTCTCTTCACGTAAATGTCATATTAACCTTCCGGACCCTGAAAAACGGTAAAAGTCAATCTTCTGTCCTTTCCATCTCTATAACAAGTCTAAGCTCTAGCCAGGCGATAAGAATTAGGTCGCTTAATTTTTTTACCTCAACAACAGCTTTATTTGTTTTGTTTTTTTTATACCACTTTTTGTACAAAATAAGTCTCTGCTGTCCTTAAAGTGTGTATGTGACAAGGTCAGAATAGTTTTGGATTTTCATTCATTAATTCATTTATTCATTTTCGTTTTAATCCCTTTATTAATCACGGGTCACCACAGTGGAATGAACCTCCCACTTATTCAGCACGTTTTACACAGCTGATGCAATTCCAGCTGCAACCCATCACTGGGAAGCGTCCATAGATTCTCATTCACACACATAGTCTACTGACAGTTTAGCTTACTCAATTCACCTATAGGGGAATTACCAACCTACGTCACATGGGCTTAACTGTGCATACCGGTTGCAAAAAAAGACCGGTTGCAATAGAAATTCAAAATAGAAATTCAAAATACAAAATTTACATTTTACCGTACACCACACTGCTTTTAATGCCAACCGCAGACGTCTTTGGTTAACAGTCATCAGAAGAGCTGAATGGAGTGAGGACTTAATTAAAAGTGCTCGACTCTGCAGATCTCATTTTATATCAGGTAAGTCCACGCTATGCTGAATCATACACATTACTCGTTTTTGATTGCAGCAATGATTACAGCACAACAGTTAAATATGGTGAATATAACTCCGGACACTGAATGCTTAGAATGAAATTTAAAAATGTAAGTTCACAAATCCTGCCGTCCAGGTGCAGTTCGCTGTCAGAATGCAGTTGTTTTGCTTGTCGATGATCATCCATGCCTTGTACAGTTCTGCCTTCTTTCCTTGTTTTTGGCTAGGCGGAACCTCGTTTTTTAGCACTACATAGTTTTGAATCTGGTGATCATGGAACATTATTTCTTGCACATGACCACACAGAACTAAATTGTTGGCATACAAAAAATTGTAGGCCTTTAACTTCTCTCTTGTAAAATCACTTGGAGTTTCAATGAGATGGTTGTATATTTGGGGCTGGATGCTTGGCCATTTTATTTTATCCTATATCCATTGGGAGGGTGTTATCACAAATGGACCTGTCAGTTGAACGCTGCTCACTTTAACATTAATTTTGCAGAATAACTGTGCTTAGCTGTGTGAAACCCCTTCTAAATGTGATTTTTCCATAATAGGTCCCCTTTAAATCCCATAATCTGCATACATTATGTTCTCCATTGACTTCCCATGCTAAAAATCTATTTCCCAATGCATGTCTTTTTCACTCCTTGCGATAGGAACTTATTTAATTTAAGGTTTTTAATAGAGTTCAGTGTTTGTTTTGCCTCCTGCCTTCAGGATGAAATTAATTGGAGGCGATAAATGCAGCGACCGGCCCTGATAATCTGTATGAAGATTAAGAGGAATCATTTCATTCACTCACTGGGGTCAATGGTTATTTACTCACTGGACGTTCTGTAACAGGGGTTTTCTCCATTATTTCAGCTTGGAGATCAAAATTAAAGATGTGGACATTTAATTACTTGGTTAAGTTGTGGTGAGTCCATTAGTTTCCTTCTAAGGACTTTTCAACCCATGGGACAAAGCTGTGGTTTCTAATGAAGCCACAATAAATGTTACTTGTTTCGCATCGCTGGAGGTGGTTGTAGTTCTTTAAAAAAAATCAATAAAAAATCTGAATTATTAGCCCCCCTGTTTTTGTTCCACCCCAATTTCTGTTTAACAGAGAGAAGATTTTTGTCAATACATTTTTAAACATAATAGTTTTAATAACTCATTACTAATAACTGATTTCTTTTATCTTTGCTATGATGACAGTAAATAATATTTGACTAGATATTTTTCAAGACATTTCTATACAGCTTAAAGTGACATTTAAAGGCTTAACTAGGTTAATTAGGTTAACTAGGCAGGTTAGGGTAATTAGGCACGTTATTTTATAACAATGCTTTGTTCTGTAGACTATCGGAAAAAATATATATAGCTTAAAGAAGCTAATAATTTTGTCCCTAAAATGGTGTTTAAAAAAAAAAAAAAACTGCTTTTATCCTAGCCGAAATAAAACAAATAAGACTTTTTCCCAGAAGAAAAAAATATTTATCATATTTATATAAATAATTATCAGACATACTGTAAGAATGTCCTTGCTCTATTAAACATCATTTAGGAAAAATAAAAAAGATTTAAAAAATGGGGCTAATAATTCTGACTTCAATAATAGGGGTGTGAAGAGATCTCGGGCTACAAAATCCTGGCAAGATTTTTTTTGTTAATATATAAAATTATATAAAAAAAAATTCCGTTCTCATATCGGCAAAATATTTTGCAGTGTTTGCATGTCCTTTACTGCATATAATTCATAAAAACAGAAGTAAAATAACATTCATTACAAGATGATTCGAAAAAAGCACATAAATCATTTTGCATTGATTTTTTTTTCCTTTAATTGAATAAAAGACTATTTTCCATTTATATATTTTATCATTGAAGACTTCTTAAAAATAGTGTAAAAATCTGGTGAGGCCCACTGCAATGTGACATAGGAGTGTGGTTTTCTCCGCCCACCATATTGATTGACAGGTGCCATGTTTCTATAATAACAAGTATGCACACAGAACATTTTGTTTGCAAATAAACTGGGATTAAAACATCTGTTCCAACTCTCTGTGATTTTTTATAAGTTTAAAATGTTTTTAAAACAGAGTATGTTTGTAATAAAGACAGTAAAATTTATATGTAATTCTTAACTGCTATAATCACCACAGCCGTATGGTGTGTACTGCAAACGGCATATGTGTGAGATTCATCATTTCAGAAAGGCTTGATAAACTCACTTGATATTTTTGATAATGAGCTGCATTTCAGCTTCATCTGAGTCTGTCTCTGTCACTGACTGCTGTTTATCTGATGTAAGGCATGATGAGACGCTGACACGCACGTGGGAACAGTAGGTGAAGAGAAGTGGCTCATTTGCATTTAAAGCCACAGGCAGCAACATAGGCAGATTCTGGAGGCTACAATAAATGATCTGATTGATATTTTGAGCTGAAACTTTATAAACACATTCTGGAGACACCAAAGGCTTATCTTACAGCTTGAAAAATAAGTACCCTTTAAGTAAAAATGGTATTCCATGAAGATATTTTCTAAATTTCCAATCGTAAATATATCAAAACTTATTTTATGTTTAGTGAGGCGCAAAGCCAAACTCTCAGATTCCAGGTTTTTGAATAGTTGTATTTCGACCTAATATTAAAGTATACATCAATGAATCCTCACAAATATGAAAATAATAAATAAAACATGGCATGCCAAGACCAGTTGTACCTTTTCACGATATTTCTATTTATTTAAATAAAATCTGTAACATATTAACAAAACATACAAATATAATTTATATTAGATCTTGCTATAATGAAGTCGATTTTTCATAGTTATGATATTTTGATTACGAAAACCAATGCGTAGCGTCACAGTTTAATAATACAGACTCTATAACAGTGAAATGCAAAGGAAGTATAATACAGTGGTAGCGTTGGAGCCTGACACAGTAAAGCTTTGCAGGTGCCAGGTCTCATATCCTTCAAAACAGTCTTTTTCACACTCTTGAATAAATAAAAGCAAACGTGGCGGCTTGAATCAATGTCACATCGACTGCACACAACAGGGCTAATCTGTCCTCGTGTTATTCAACAGCTGAAGCAGGCTTGCCATGAAGTAGGCAACAATCATGCAGCAGACAAGTTTTCAAAGATGTATATTTCCAAACCGTGTCACCCAGTCCATCCTTTAATGCTTAAAAACAGTGGAGAGTTTGGGAGTCGAGCACTGCGACGCATTGGCTCATTGGATAGTCCTGTAAATAGGATGAGACATTTCATTACTCTGACACTCTCCCTTGTCAGTCTTGATAACACCATGTGCGGTGGCTCTCCTGAAGCACCTCATCACCCTGTTGTTGTTCCCTTTTCTTTCAGGCTGAATGGTCCTTGCATTAAAATAGTCCCGTATAACTCTGAGGTACTTGAACTTTGCTTCATGGTCTCAGATTTTTGGAGTTTGAGCACTCATTTTTCTCCTTTTTTTTGTTTGAGGTGATGTTTGGGGATTTTTAAAAGTTGTCCAGGTTGTATTCTGTTTCTCTTTGGAGTCTTCACTGTGCTTTGGAGTCTTTTGTTTTGTGTCTAAAAGAGTCTCTTATTGCCATCAGCACTGATGAAACCAGATGTCCTTCTACTTTATGATGCCATTCTGGAGTTCGGCCTCTGATTGAAAGAAAAAAAAAAATTGTAAAAATTTAGTATTCATGTTTACTGTATACTGCATCATACAATAAGCAGAATCCCTCAAAGAATAGTTGGCTCCAAAATGAAAAGTTGTTAATAATATAATTAACCCCCAGCCATCTAATATCCAGTTGAAGTCAGAATTATTAGCCCCCCTTTGATTTTTTTTTTTTCTTTTTGAAATATTTCTCAAATGATGTTTAACAGAGCAAGGAAATTTTCACAGTATGCCTAATAATGTTTTTTTCTTCTGGAGAAAGTCTTATTTGTTTTATTACGGCAATGTAAAAGCAGTTTTTAATTTTTTTAAATCCATTTTAAGGTCATTATCATTAGCCCCTTTAAGCTATATATATATATATTTTCGAGAGTCTACAAAACAAACCATCGTTATACAATAACTTGCCTAATGAAACTAACCTGCCTAGTTAACCTAATTAACCTAGTTAAGGCTTTAAGTATCACTTTAAGCTGTATAGAAGTGTCTTGAAAAATATTTAGTCAAATATTATTTACTGTCATCGTGGCAAAGACAAATTAAATCAGTTATTAGAAATGAGTTATTAAAACTATTATGTTTCGAAATGTGTTTAAAAAGTCTACTCTCCATCAAACGGAAATTAGGGAACAAAAAAAACAAGGGGGCTAATAATTCAGGGTTGACTAACAATTCTGACTTCAACTGTATGTATATTTTACTAATATATACACTGGCCACTTTATTATTTACACCTGTCCGACTGGTTTTAACACAAATTTCTTATCAGCCAATCACATGGCAGCAATTCAATGCATTTAGGCAGGCAGACAAGGTCAAGACAATCTGCTGCAGTTCAAACCGAGCATCAGAATGGGGAAGAAAGGTGATTTAAGTGACTATGAACGTGGCATGGGTGTTGGAGCCAGACCGGCTGGTCTGAGTATTTCAGAAACTGCTGATCTACTGGGATTTTCACGCACAACCATCTCTAGGGTTTACAGAGAATGGTCTAAAAAAGAGCTAATGGCATCTCCCTTTGGTATGAGAATAGCAGTGTATCTGACAAGAACACCGTTAAGAGGATCATAAAGTCAGCTGAAAGGTCTGTTGGAGTCAAAATGACATCTATCAAGGAACTCTTTTAACGACGCTGTGTGTCTAGGGCAAATAGCATTTTAAGGCATCCAACCCACCCTGGCCATAGCTTCATGCCATCAGGCAGGCGTTACAGAAGTCTGAGGAGCAAATCAGTGCGGTTTTGGGATAGTTTTTATCCTGTCATTATAATACTTTTGAATAATACCATTTCTTAAACACTATTGAAAGCTAGTGTGAAATAATAAATCATTAAATAGTTAAACTAGCATAAATTGATAATATTACAACTATTATAACAAATGGTGAAATAGGTATTTAAGTTATTCTCTTTAGAGATTTTTAAAATTGGGTTATATCTTAAATTATAAAAGCTGATTTATTATGTTAGGATTGTATGGTCTTTATATAGTGACAAATTTTTATGTTCTCGTTGGATCTGGTGCAACGTAATTTCGTTCTGCATTACAATTTCATTGTGATGTTTTGAACAACAAAAATAAAGGAAACTGAAACTGAAGTTAATTTTTTGAGTGTATCGTAGTGAAGTAAACTATTCCACAAACTGCCAGTCTACTCAAAAAGCCCAGTGCATTTTGGAGAAAAAACAGAAAGAGATGTACTGCTTAAAATTGTCACATATTTCTAAGCCCAGATAGTCACATTGTAAAAGGCTTCTTTCCTAATTGAAAACACAGATTCATGTCCCCAACTGACCAATCAATATACAGCAAAAGGCAGTTTACTTTCTTTGACAGGACAAATACATGTTACAGTCTGAAGGAAGAAAAAAAAATATTGTCTCCATTTTCCTGCACTCTCAAATGTGCCAGCTAGACAAGTCTTAGCCGGTGGAGGTATTACAGTTTGTCTCAATGATTGTGCCGCATGTTTGTGCTGTCACAACACATCCCTGAGAACACATCTCAATTTTCGATGACAACGGTTTTCTGTATTACAGCCCCGTGTTTCATTGATTCGGCCCTAAAATATGAATCTGTAGGGGCTCTTGCAGACCAGCAGTGGCTTGCAGGGAACAAATTGATTGTAAAATAAACTAAATCTTTGAGCCAAAGCAACTCTTTCTCCAATAAACTCTCATTTTTAGCTTCTGCTGTTGATTTTATTTGAGATTCACATATCATGTTGAATGCAAGCAGCTATATTAGAACAGAGGAATTTTAGCGTGCAGCTTTAGAGGGCACCTATGATGAAAATCATCTTTTTAAAGCTGTTTGGACAGAACTGTGTGTAGGTATAGTGTGTCCACAGTCATATTGGGGTGATATTAAAACAATAAGTATCTTTTTTTTTTAAATTTCCTGTTGTTAAAATAGGATCCAAATCCCTTTCATTTTGAGGCCGACCACAACTTGATGTTGGAGTGCGGTTTCCCTGCCCACCATATTAATTTGTCTCCGTAGTACAAGTCAGGGCGTGCACAAAGCAACTGGGAATAACAGATCTGTTCAGCTCTCTGTGATCATCAGTCATCATCAAATGTGATCAAGAATGAGTTTTACAAGTTTAAAACATTTTTAAAACAGTGTGTAACATAACGGATATCTATACAGCAGTGGATATTAACATGTATCCTGTCACATTTGCCTTGCAAAAACCAAGCGCGCTCTGTGTGTGTGTGTATCTGTATGCGTAAACTTTGTAACAACATTGTGTGTGACTCATCGTTGCTACTCCACAACAAATGCATCAAATACTCATTGGGAACGTTCTTACTGTATATATATATATATATATATATATATATATATATATATATATATATATATATATATATATATATACATTAGGGCTGTGTAATTAATCGAAAATCCGATCTCGATTTCGGCTTGTAACGATTATGAAAAGCCATTAATCGAGATAAACGATTATTCCATCACGTACCGCCCCCTTTCCAGTTGTACACGTGTGAAAACTCTTTGCCTCTGCAAAGCTCAGTTCCACGTGAAAATGACTAAAAGCATGTGCTGTAATGTAACTTTTGCAGCACGGGATGCGCATCATTCATATTTTTTAAAGCGCAAAAGAGCACGTGCTGTTGTGTGTGTGTGTGTATGCGCCGTGCTTAGCCTCGGACAGGTAGCGTGTGTGTGTTTGCACGCGCGCCGCGCTTAGCCTCGGACAGCAGAGCACACACACATCTAACGCGATCTTAATGTGAGCGCTTTATGGTGAAATACATGCACACTTGTGTCAGAGCGCAGTGTTTAGTGATTATTCATATTAACCCTCATTTGTTTGATAAACAAGTTGAGAATCAAAAGACACGAAAAAGAAAAACCTTATCAGAGCCGCACTATTCTTTAAGTGAGCGTGCCGTATTCCTGCTGCTGCCGATTGTTTTTATCATTAATTAATAATAAAATCAAAAATACATTAAAGCACAGTTTAAACATAAAAGATTTAATAACTCATTTCTAGTAACTGATTTCTTTTATCTTTGCTATGATGACAGTACATTATATTTTACAAGATGTTTTTTAAGATACTAGTATTCTGCTTAAAGTGACATTCAAAGGCTTAATTAGGGTAAATAGACAAGTCATTGTATAACAGTAGTTTCTTCTGCAGAAAATCGAACATATATATTGCTTAAAGGGGCTAATATCGAGCTATTAAAATAGGTTTAAAAATATTCAAACCTGCTTTTATTCTAGCTGAAACAAAACAAATAAGCCTTTCTCCAGAAGAAAAAAAAATATTATAGGAAATACTGTGAAAAAACCCTCTGTTAAACATAATTTGGGAAATATTTATATATAAAAATAAATTCACAGGAGGACGAGTAATTTTGACTTCAACTGATAATCGTTTTGAATAATCGTGATCACAATTATGACCAAAATAATCGTGATTATGATTTTTCCCATAATCGAGCAGCCCTAATATACATACATAAATACATACATATATATATATATATATATATATATATATATATATATATATATATACACACAACAGTTCTGTCCGGTTCTCGAATCTGATTGGCTGCATCGCTAGGGCACTTCAGCTCATTTTGGAAGGGCACTTTCTATCCAAGACTAAAAAGGGCATGTGCACTGCACAGGTTGAGCCCTATGTGTGCACGTGCCTGGCTTGCTATAATACATAATAGGTAAAAAAACAAACAAACAAAAAAACATAAAAGCCTGAAGCTCTTTTTCTCCAATATGTCCTCACTTCTGGCCTCTGTTCTTGCTATTCTTTGAGATACACACCTTGTGTCTGTCCGGCAGAGGTGTGTGACTCGTGACTTTTTTGACCCCAGCGGTTCGATTAAAAAGAAGCTGCAGAAAACTTGTGCCTGGACTCCTCTCACAGCCACAGCGGTGTGTTGGACAGAAGTAGACGACACAAACATGGGCCCAGTGGAACTGTCCAACTGCCATGTCCTGCAAGAGAAGGATAGAAAAGTTTTAATTTAAAGATCCTGTAAGGCAGGGGCGTCAAACTCAAATTTGGCTAATAGTTTGACTGTAAAAAATTCTGTGTCAAAAAGCTAGCCTTTTGTCGGTTTACAACTATGAAAAATGCAAGTGTTAAAGTCTGTCAGATAATGTTTGATTGTTGTTAAAGCTATTCAATGCATCAAACAGGTTTCAAAGATAGAGTGGAATGCTGGTTTAGTTCAGTGTAGAGCAAAAATTATTCTGATAAGTTCAAGAGCAAAATGTTAAATATGTACCTCTCCTAAAATTATTTATTTTGTTGTTGTTGTTGAACCATTGTTAAATCCAGTACAACAAAGACTTTTGGCTGGTTTACAACTATGAAAAACACACATGAAGATTTAATTGTTGTTGAACCTATTCAATACATCAAACATGATGCAAAAATACAGTGGAATGCTGGTTTAGTTCTGCGTAGAGAAAAAATAGCTCGCATAATTTCAATATGGGCTGGTGGAACATTTTAATGAGTCATTTTTTGACTGGTTCAAATGTTTTGTTCAAAACTGATTCGTTTAGAAACAAAGCAAACGGTGAACTGAATCATGGACATAAAAATGTTTTTTTCAGAAATGGGTTTTTGTATACGAAGAGGATTTTAAAAAGTTCAATATGTACCCTGTACCTCTAATTAAATTATTTATTTTTTCTATTGTTGTTGAACCATTGCTAAAAATCAATTCATTCACGATTATGCTTATAAAATGGGAGAATCTGCATTCTTGGTCTTGATTCAAACAGTTGCTTATAAAATTTATTTCTAAAAGATATTATGGTAGACTTTTTTCAAAAATTATAAGACATGTTCAAAAATAAGTGGTTATTTATTAAAGCCAAAAGTATTCGTTTTTAAGATATCTATTGCTTCTTAAATAAAATAATGTAGCAAATACACTTTATTTAAATTTCTAAATAAACTAACATTTATGGTGATTTTGTTTTAATGTTACAATCATCAACTGGGACATTTCTTCCTTATTTTTTTTCTGGATTCTGCATGCAATGATGTGCATGCCATGAGGTGCCGTTGTCAAGAGATTTATTTTTTACTCCACTAATTTGTTGCTGGAAAATTAATTTGGGAATGAAGCTCATGGTAAGTCTTAATTTTCTGCTGAAATGTTCAACTATTATCCTTCGGGCAAGCTAATATAGATGTCAAAACTATAATTTGTCCCATGTTAATACGAGGGATTCTGCGAAAATGAAACACCTTTGAGTTTCGAGAAAAACACTCTTGCTCTCAATTCATTCTATGGGCATCTTCCTATTTCATGGCTTTAGTAGTTTATTGCTCTGTAACACCCAGAACAAGCTTTTGGGCGTTCTATTATAACAGTCATTTATGATTATTATTATTATTATTATTATTATGATATTTTTTTAAACATTTGGCCTTTATTTAAGAAAAGCCCCCAGTTTCTAATTTCCACATCTGTTATTGAATCATCATGTAGTTTATGTAGTGATCAAAATTCAACATTGAAACTTAATTTGATATTAATTTGTTTAAATGTGTATCTTAAAGGGATTGTTCACACAACAATGCACTGTAAAAAATGCTCTTTTCCACACAACTCTCTTTATGTTGTAAGACAGTGGTTTCCAAACTTTTTGCTGTGTGCACCCCTTTCTAATATTTGACACCTGTCAAGCACCCCTTTCTCTGATTAAACTCCAGATTTTTAACTACAATAACTAAATACACATATATTCTGTATACGTGGTTAAAATAATAAAATATGTGAATTTAGGGAAAGAGCTTTAATGAAGTTGACTATTTTCACAGCGTCTTTAAGGACCAACAAAAGTTCATCTGGTTTCTACTAAATTTCTACTGCTCCTTTGTGCTTTTGTTTTTCTTCTTCTGCAGTTCCTCCAATTTTCCTTGAAAAAAACATACAGGCATGTCTTGTACTGTAAAATATGACACGTGAAGTTTACCCAAGATAAATGGATGAAAATAATAAAAGGTAAAATTTTCCGCCATTTCAAACATTCTCTTGCGCACCCCTGGTGGTCAGACTGCGCACCCCAGTTTGGGTACCACTGTTGTAAGGGATTAAATATAGGAAACTTAAATCAATTAAGTTAACCTAATTGTTTTTACAAATTTAGGTAGATTAATCATAAAACAAATAAGTTGTGCCCCCCCCCCAAAAAAAACTCAAGAATTGTGTTGATTCAGCTTATGTAGTCAATTGGTAACAGAAACTAGAATTTTTCAAACATAGTTTCATTTGTGTTCAAAAAATAAATGAATAGGTTTAAAACCACATGAGAGAGTGAAAAATGATGAGTAATTCAAAGTTTTGGTTAAACTAAACCTGTAAAATCAGTCTTATTTGGACATTAAATCATGTTGGATGACTTCAGATGCAAAATAACCTTTTTAGTTAGCCGTTTTTATCACTGTCCTGGTCTTTGTTTCAGTAATTTAAATTCAATGGTTCACATGGGCAACAATACTTTAGAACGATTTAAATATGATTAAGACAATACTTTGATTAAGAGTCACCATGTACTGTAAACAGCGATTTTTGCTTACCTTAATCCGACTAAAGTCAGTCGTGGAGTATGCAGGTAATAGTGGCGTTATTGAGATAAACACCGCAATCCAACTATTACCGTCATGTAGAGCTTTTCGCTGCATTTTGTGACAAGCTTAAAAGGCTGTCAGTAAAGGTCGCGCGCGCATACATACTCACACACACATCACGAAGTGCAGAGTTTTTATTTTCCTTTCCATTCAGCTTTCCATTAAAACAACTCTCTTCCACCAGTCCTTACTTTATATTAGCATCTATTACCCCAGTGTGTCATGGGAGCGTGAATGATATGTTCATGACTGAAAGTGAAACTTAAAACGAACCGCAGTAAAGAAAAAAATTAAGAATAAAACACCCAAAATTGGATTTGAATAGTAAACGTGAATAGCCTGGTGCACAACATTTAAGAAGCACTTCAGGTAACACCCTTATTATATGCACTCTAAATAAGGCAAATAACTGATGTCCATGTAAACATAGTCAGTAGTGTCTTCAAAGTGAAAGATCCAGAAGGGCATCCTGCTTATTTGATTCAGAGTGGCACTTTTTTGTCTGACGCTCACTGGTTCGACTTTTATTTATTTATCGTCAGTCATTTTAAAAAGCCCCCGCTCCATTTTATGTGTGTATATTTTACTGGAGCGCATTAAATCTACAGGTGCCTGATAGTTAGCTGTGGACCTGACTTTAATCAAATTCCCTCTAGTGAACGCATAAAAATCATCATCATAACGAGTGCACGCCTCAATGTCTCGCACCCTCCTTAGTTTCAAAACCCCTGCCCTAGACGATCTTAATCCAGCATCTCTTGTCGTGAATTCGACTTCTTATCAATTAGAAATTATCAGACAGGAGGTTTTGAATATCATAAAATAGACTTTATTCTCCATAATAAAGCCGAGAAAGAGCAGAGCAGACCCCAGAGCATTCTGAAGTCTCTCCTGGACACTTCCTATCTCTGGTTCTCTCTTTCCAAAGTCTCTCCGGCTCCTTCTAAAGTTTCTGTGTGTTTCCAAAATCTTTATTCAAGTTTTTTGACACACCCCTAGGTGTCTCTTTTTAAACTCTTGACCATTTTTGAATAGGTTTTCTAGTCTAAGGGGTCTTGCTATTCTTGGCTCTCAGCCCGCTAGCTCATGTCAACAGAGATGTTACAGGTCTATGTCAGCAAAGTATAGATGCAACTTATGCAAAGGAACTACAGTGTAAGTGTTTACATACATTGTCATGATAGGATAATAACTTTATATTATGTTACTCATTCTAACTTCTGACACATACAGCTTCATGCAAGTATTTAACATGTATAATCAGTGCTTATACTCATCTTACACAGTATTTTTAACACATGCTGGCATGTTTGCTGCAAACACTACATACATTTTGTGAAGAGAAAATTAACTGCTTTACACTTAGAGAATAGAAATCTTCTTCACTCTACAATTCTGCCAATCATTTTTCAACTTTCAACCGAAGAGAAGCAAAGGTGCACAAGTCTTCACATTGTTTTACATATGTTGCTCAGCAATATAGACACCTCCAAATGGTGTTAAATGTGTCACATACTGTATTTATAAGGTATAAATCACCCCAAAATGTAATTTCTGTCTTTATGTAGGCCGCAAAATCAGCTGTTAAGCTGGATTTATACTTTCGCCTGGCGGTGCATTGTGCACCTCCGCTGACTGTGCATGCACCTCACGAAATGGACAAGGCTTTTATACTTGCTGCGTTCGCTGTTGTGATATTCATTAAAACAACAGGGGGCGGTCAAAAGAAACTGACTGTAAAGTCAGACGGATATAACAGAGAAGTAGAACGTTTCCGGAACTACGTCATATTCAATTCAATTCAACACAGGAAGAACATGCAAACACATTCGAATGAGTTTGAATGAGTTGAGATGACAGCGCTAACCACTGAGCCACCGCACCACCCACTTCCAATTCATGCAGACTTTAATAAAGCGCTAAACACTTATCCTATACACTAATGCAGTGTTAATAGCTGGTATAAAGTGTATTTCTTTACCTTAACAGCACATGCTGCAGTGGTGGTCTGGCTCCAGCAGCCTGCAGTGTATAATGATACACCTCCACATCCTTATCCAGAGTCTCCACCACTTCGCTGTGCGTCAGGTCTCTTTGCCACTGACTCTGTTCTCTTAAAATGCGCTGGAAAACCTCCTGCTGCGGAGCGTCCACTTCAGTTGTTCCTCTCCACAGCCGCAGAGGGTAGCCATCATCCACCTTTAGCAATCACATCACAGCCAAGTCAAACATCTTTTGCATAACGTCATCATTTATGCAGATAATATTTATTCCCTTTTTTAAATAGCCAAGAGAGCTTAACTCGCTGCAACTTGAGAAAAAACATGCAAATAGAAAAAAACCCAGCAAATTAAAAACATCTTCATCGTTTTGACAGCACATTTGATATAAGTAAAGTTTATTCATAAACTAATTTCGAGAGGAGCACGTGATTATGATTGAACACGGCTGGTTCTGCATTAGCGTGCATGATCCACCAATCAGGCCATTCCTAACCCACTATAAAGAGCCAGGGTTTTTTCACTACAGTCATCTTCGATTTGAAGAATTCCCCCCTCCACCCCTACCTTTTAACTTTCCCTCCATAGGGCAGCACGGTGGCCCAGTGACTAGCACTGTCGCCTCACAGCAAGAACGTCACCGGTTCTAGTCCTTTAACAGGCCGGTGGTCGTTTCTGTTTGTAGTTTGCATGTTCTTCCCGTGCTTGCGTGGGTTTTCCCCAGGTCCTCCGGTTTCCTCCCACATTCCAAAACATGCACAACAAGTAAATTGAGAAATCTTAATTTGCAATACAGGTAATCTCATAATGCAGCATATCTTTTAATAGCATTCAATTTTTAGTCATCAGCTCTTATCAGGGGGGAGTTGTCGAGATCTACCTGAGCTCAAGGCTCCCCTCTCTTCCTCCAAATGGGAGGGAGCCCAGGGCTCAAGAACCTTCGAGCTCAGGGCTCTCTCCTGGGACAGCATGCCAAACTTGTTTATAATCAATCATCAGCTAAGTGTGAACTCTTGAAATACGCATGTAGTGTCATGTAACAAATTACAAATACTCAAATCTACTGTAATCGTGGTTTTTTATTTTCAGGAATTGTTATTTACTAAATAGTTTTAATAATGTGTACTTTTACTTTCCCATGAGTACATTTTTAGTGTTGTATTGGTACTTTTACTCCACTATTTTCCTTCAACCTGCATTCACTACTTGATTTTTTCTTGTCTATGGGGATTAGAAATCAGTTCTGTGGTTCCTGTCCAATCTAATCGCACATAGAAGGTAAATTGCATCATAATGAACTACCTCAAGTCATGGGTGATTTATAATTGCAGCAAACTGTTCGGAAGCATTTAATGTGTCAAAGAAGATGTCCAAAATCATCACACGCATTGACAGTTTAGATGTATGTCACTGATGAGAAAATGACGGATGTTTACTGTATGATAATTAAAATAGCCTTAAACACCCAGCAGGCACATGACGTCAGATTGACGTTGTACCCCAACGTTGTGGGGAGATTGCATTTTGTTTGGAAATGAAAATCAGGTTGACGTCAGAACTAAATTATTTAAATAAAATAAATAAAATAAATTATATATATATATATATATATATATATATATATATATATATATATATATATATATATATATATATATATATATATATATATATATATATATTATTTTAATTTTTTTCTATTAAGTGACTATAAAGTTTTAATCATTATTAAGAGGTTAAGTGAATTTAAATGGCATCAAATTATGGCAGGTGAATGTTAACATTACTTTGATTAAGCTTTAACTTAAGGCTTAGCCTTTAAGTTAGCCTGCCCCGGACCAGGCTAGTTTTCCAGCATAAGTTGCCAGGGTAACTAAATTTGAATTTATGAAACCGAATCCACCATTAATAAACCTGACTAACTAAAATAAGCCTGGCTTTTTCTGTAAGCTTGGTTTATGGAATAGCTCCCAAGTTGCATGTGTTGTGGCTTTGCTCCACATACTGTAATTATCTAACGTGTCCATATGTCTGAAATATTCTGAAGCAGCAGTACTGTTTTGTATTGTCGCATGACATTCCCGTCTTTTTAAAGAAAAAATGTATAACATTACTGCACATCAGTAACTTGCCAGTAACTTTTTAAATGTATGTTCCTGTAAGAAAACATTGCAAATAATCGGAAATCCGGCAACATCAATAATTAAACTCTTTGGAACAAGAGTTGGTTATCAAGCGGTGGACTTCCATATTCCGATTAGATGCCACCAAACCGCGTCATAGCTCATTACCATAAAGTTGACTTGATTTCAACTCTCCTCGACGCCCACACCAGCGAAGACTGCTGCACCTTGCCGCTGCCTCCCATTGAAAATGAATGACTTCTGGCACTTTGACACTCTCGCTGTTTTCTGTGTGAACGTACTGTACAGTAACACAACCTAAAAATTAACCAAATATCAACGTCATTTGACGTCGTTTTTGGACATCAAAATAACGTTGTCTTTAGACTCTGGCTAGATTTGAATTTTGGTCACCTGACATCAAAACCTAAATGTAACCTAATTTTAACGTTGTGTGCCTTCTGGGCAACAACTAAATGCACGACAGAATGTTGCGCGAAGCAATTGTTATTTGCTAGTTTCAGCTTGATGCAAGAGTCGTTTGGACATTTTGCGCCAAGCTGTTTAGATAGCAAATGCATTTGCGCTCATATGTGCGCCCATAGGCGTTCTGGTCTTAAAAAGCATGCGTGTTTTGGGCCGTTGCTATTTTGAGAAACTGTAATAGTCTGTTCTTTAGACCAGAACAAAGCTGGTCTAAAGTCCAGCGCAGAATGTGCCTCGCTTACACACTGCTTAACACACTCAAGATGTAGAGCAATAAGCAAATATCTTTACATATGAAAAATAATTAAAATATTAAGGATATATAGGATATAATAAGGATATATATATAGGATATAAATAGAAAGGATGAAAATATTACAAAAAATATTCTTTTCTAGCCTACATAAATTTAAAAACCACTGCCTTGAATCCTTCTTTATCTCAGGAGGCTTTTTCCGTTCATTCAACTTGCTTTTGTATAATGTTATCATTATTAGCAGTATTATTTATTAAATCCATATTTATATATATATATATTTTATTAAAAACAAGCTTAGATTCGCCCACCTGTCATGTTTCAGACCATATGGGGCACAGCATGTGTATTAGGATAAAACTCAGTTTTTTGAACACACTTTGTTATCATTGTTCATTTATTTGTTTGCTGGAAATTACAACTGAATTTAGAAATAGTTTTGAAACAAATCTTTGCGCTTAACAAACTAAATTAATTGTTTATAGGCTTACTGATGTCTGTGCATACATGGTTTCCCTATCCACGAGAGCAAAAGTGAAAGTGAATAATGAGATGCCTTACAGTATCTCTCATTCTTGCGCTGCAGATGCTCTGTTGAACTGTTTTCTTGCTAGTGAAATGCTCAATTTTTCCACTTACACTTACTTTACGTCATGTAAATAGCAAATGTGCTTATGACGCGACGCAACTGGCTCTTACAGGGAATGGGAGATAAGACTCTGATTGGTTTATTCTCAAAACACACCTATAACTCATTAAGAAAATAAACTCAACCCTTTTAGATCATGCGCCATGGCGCAAAGCGGATTTTTCCATCCTTAAAATAGCAAAAGTGGATTCTGACCTGCCCTGAATGCGTTTGCACCCTGCGCTTTACGCTTTGCGCATGAACTGTCAAAATAGAGCCTTTTATCTCTACTTGCATTTAATTTTTAGGCAAGTAATGGTACTTTTAATTGAGTATGATTTTTCAATACTCTTTCCACCACAGATAAATATAAAATAAGCAACAAAATATGACAATACATGCACATTTTGAGCTTAACCCTCAATCCCCCCACAAAAAAGAAAAAAAAATATAGTTGCCTTGTCCTCACAAACTATTTTCAAAATCACACTTCTTCACACTATTTTCAAAATAGATATTTTCAAAATCACACTTCTTTTCCCCTATGCAGGTCTCTGTTTGTCCACACGAAAAACAGAGTATAAAGTGTATAGAGTATAAACTTTCTAAAAACTTTGGTCAAGGCATTATCTACACATAATATGAATTCCCAATTAGAAAAATACTACAAACTATAAAATAATATTCATGAAAATACCTAAATAACAGACAAATCCAAATGCCCAATGCAAGCGTGCTGCATTTCAGACCAGTTCATCTCGATCACATTTAATGTCTCTGACATCACCTGTAGTCCCATTTAGCAACTTGTTAGCAACCATCTTTTTAAAGAAGCGTAACTGATGTAAGAAATCAAGAGTGTACTGTAACTGATGTGTTATGTCATAGAGTAAAACGTGAAAGTATCTTGAGTTTGTGTTAGCCACGAGCCTTATTTAACTGCTAACTGCTAAAATGCTAACCCGCTTCCGGGTTTTTGCATACAAATTGATGTCATAGTTCCTCTGCTCTATTTTAGCACACGTGATGTCCTCTGGAATGTTATTTCAGTGGCAATAAGCATAACGGCCAAAAGCAGCATCGCTAAATTTTATACTTATTTACAACACAATCTCATGGCAATCTTATGGTAACATTTTGATTTAGTGGCTAATTCATATTGAATTGTATGATTGTACATTTTAGAATGATTCGCTCATCCTCAATGAGGTGTAGGGTTAGGGGTGGGGTTCATATAAGAGGCTTCTTTAAAAATCGTATGAATTCATTAGGTTTTCCTGACAATATGTAAAATTTTTTCCTTGTAACATTATGCTGGGTATAGTGTAAAGAAAATAATCGAAAGATCTGAGAGTCATTCTGTGTTAATGTGCTGGACTACAATATTTCTTCTTCTAAAATATATAACTACGACTAATAAAATAACTATAACTAAATTAGTCTTATAACTAATAAAACTGATAAAAATTCTTCTATGTTGTCGCTGATTTCCATTTACATTGTGTTGTGTACTACTAGGCCACAACTAGTGCTCTGGGTCTCTAAAGTTTTGATGTTAGGAAATAAAACAAACCTTTTTAACTGCCACATCCACATGGTCCGAGCTTAAGCAGGATGTCCAGCCTTTAGACTTATCTCTGGCCTCTCTCAGGAGTTTTTGAGTGAGTAGAAATAGCCTGGCTCGGTCTGGAAGTTCATTTTCTCCAGAGCGGGATACAGAACTCGGGACTGCATCGTTTTGTTGTGAATCCTCTTTAAAGCTGCCTGCTCCATGGGTTTCCCAGTATTTCGGTATCTGTATTGAGGACATATACGATTGTTATATGTTTCATATATGCAATATACATATCATTTCGTTTGTTAAGTTGTATTGTAAATGCAATATTATTTCTAACATCATCATTTTGGATTGTTATTTCATATTATATATTTAGTGTCCAATTAACAACTTCTTATTAATGTTTAAATTTAAGGCACTACAGTGCATCTGGAAAGTATTCATAGTGCTTCACCTTTTCCAAATTTTTTTTTAATATTACAGCCTCATTCCAAAATGGATTAAAGTCATTTATTTCCTAAAAATTCTATACACAATACTCCATAATGACAATGTGAAAACAGATTTTTTGAAATTCAGCAGCAATTACAGCTTCAAGTCTTTTTGAATATGATGCCACAAGCTTTGAGAATTTTTGCCCATTCCTCTTTGCAGTACCTCTCAAGCTCTATCAGGTTGGATGGGAAGCAATGGTTTACAGCCATTTTCAGATCTCTCCAGAAATGTTCAATAGGGTTTAGGTTTGGGCTCTGGCTGGGCCACTGAAGAACATTCACTGAGTTGTTGTGAAGCTATATATCTATTGATATTTGGCGGTTTGCTTTGGGTCATTGTCCTGCTGGAAGATGAACCGTCGCCCCAGTCTGAGTTCAAGAGTACGCTGAAGGAGGTTTCCATTTAGGATGTCTCTGTACAAAGCTGCATTCATCTTTCCCTCTATCATGACTGCAGAAATAGAAATTTTTTTTGTACCTTCCCCAGCCTTGTGCCTTGAGACAATCCTGTCTCAGAGGTCTACAGACAATTCCTTTGTCTTCTTGCTTGATTTGTGCTTTGACATGCACTGTTAACCCTAGGACCTTATATAGACAGGTGTATGCCTTTTCAAATCATGTCCAATCAACTGAATTTACCACAGGTGAACTTGTTATTACTTATATACTTATTTACATGTGATTTTTCAGGTTTTTTAATTTTAATAAATTTGCAACAATTTCAAAAAATCTTTTTTCACATTGTCATTATGGGGCATTGTGTGTAGAATTTTGAGGAAATAAATGAATTTAATCCATTTTGGAATAAGCCTGTAACATAAAAAAAGTGGGAAAAGTGAAGTGATATGAATACTTTCCAGATGCATACGTGTATGTTTCACGGGTATATATTTGGAATCTGAGGACAAAATAAATAAATAAATAAAATAAAAATAAATTGCCTTTAAAGATGTACAAATTAGGCTAAAAATACAGTTTTTTATTTATTGTAGGAAATTTACAAAATATCTGATCTTGACTCAATAGTAAAACCATTTTGGAATAAAAGAAAATGTACAAATAGTAGAATCTTTTCAATAACCTTCTTAAAGTAAATTTAAAATCTGAGAAAATCAGATTTAAAGCTGATACTTATAAAAAATTACTTTTTAAATATTTACTGTACAACATTTATAAAATATCTTCTTGGAACATGATCTTTATTTAGTACTCTAATGATTTTTGCCATTAAAAACAAACGAAGTCAATCATTTTGACCCATACAATGCATTTTTAGCTATTGCCCATGATATACCAGTGCAATTTCAGAATTGAGGTTTAAACTTGTGGTCCAAGATGACAAATTAATTTATTAAGCTGGGATGTTCATTTTTACAGCCATTTCTAGACTTTCCTATTACCCTTTTTAAAACCCCTGGATTTGAATGTTTTTTTTTCTTTTCTTTTTTCGCATTATCACACCTGGAACGAGGGAAAATATATTGTTTATCAGAGGTCTACAGCACATTTAGATTGCATGCATATGATCACGGATATTAGTACTAATTAGTAGTACTATGTACCTGGAAAAGGCGAGAGCATTCAGTAACCATATGTGACAGTCCCTGTGTTGCAGCCAGATTCTCACTTAGATCCCTCTGGTCTGGCCTTCCCAGGCTGTATTTCCGTTGTCTAGACCTATGTTCAAAAGCAGAAAATGGTACAAATTTGAGACATTATGCACACAACGTTGAATTCATTCAAATGTCTAACCCTTTCTCCAATTTATACACTGAAAAATTCCCAGAATTTCACAAGTTACTGTAATTTCTCACAGTAAATAACATTTGTCTTACTTCACAGGATTTCACCGTGAAATTCACAGTAATATGTCGTATTCAAAACATTATTGTGAAATTAAGGCAGGCAGCATGATTACAGTAAATTACTGTATAAAGGACTATATATTTTGCATGTTATTTATAGGAATTCAAAGTCTGTATTTAATTCAACATAGAAATGAATACACATAAACTTTTATTGTATATACAGTTGAAGTCAGAATTATTAAAACCCCTGAATTATTAGTCCCCGTTTATTTTCCCCCCTAACTTCTGTTTAACGGAGAGAAGATTTTTTTCAACACATTTATAAACATAATAGTTTTAATAACTCATTTAATAACTGATTTATTTTGTCTTTGCCATGATGACAGTAAATAATATTTGACTATATTTTTCAAGATACTTCTTTACAGCTTAAAGTGACATTTAAAGACTTAACTAGGTTATTTAGGTTATGCCGGTTAGTTTAATTAGGCAAGTTATTGTATAATGATGGTTTGTTGTCGACAATCAAAAAATATAGCTCAAAGGGGCTAATAATTTTGACCCTAAAATGGTTTAAAAAAATTAAAACTGCTATTATTCTAGCTGAAATAAAACAGATAACACTTTCCCCAGAAGAAAATTTTTAGCAGGCACATTGTGAAAATGTTCTTGCAATGTTAATGTTAATAGGTTTGGTAATTTTTTACCAAAATTAATAACCCCCCCCCCCCCGGTTTACTTTTTTTAAGTTTACTTATACTACTTCAGTATATTTAAATAAATATTAAAACTTTTATAACTAACAAATGAGAATAGTCATATGTCCTTCATGTTTTTTGGTACAAACCTAAATTACATTGTAAAAAAAAGTGCCTGGTTCCACACTATCAATTTGTGTTGGGACAACATGAAGGAATTAAGTTAACTTATTAGCATTTTCAAATTTAAGTGGATTGAACATAAAACAACTAAGATGTCCCAGCTCAAAGTTGTTTCAGCTCATTTTAAATAAGTGAACAAACAGCAAATGAAATTTTTGGAGTATTATATTACTTGTTGCCTTATAAATATATCTGTATATCTATTTTATTTTTTGGCTACACTGCAAAAATGTTTACTATGATCTACTATCTGTTTTAGTTAGCTTTTTTGTAGCTCAACAATTCAACAAATAAAAGATTATGTATATTAGAAAATACAATCTCTGTTAAAGGCATTCCCCAACCTTTGCCATTATTCTTCCTCCTTTCTCAGATAAGACGGTGGGGTCAAATCAAATGTGACCAATGGCCAACTGAGCCCTAATTTGGCCATCTCAGATTTGGAATAACTATTACATCAGTTAAAGACTTTTAATTGTATTTGTAGGTGTAAAGCATTACTTTGCTACAGCAATTCACTTGTAAAAATATCTTTTAGAAGCTAAATTTAAGTCAAATACCACCAAACTGCTCAAACTACCTCAGAATTTGGTGTCTACTTAACAAAAATGGTCAAAAGTATATGAAAAAATATGGTTTATATTATACAAAACATACACAGAAAAAAGGGGCACCCTTGTATGGTCATAAATGGAAACTGAATGGTTAAAAAAGGTTATGTTAAATTAGAAAAGACAATCTCTGTTAAAGGCATTCCCCAAACTTCCCCAATATTCTTCCTCCTTTCTCAGATGGGATGGTAGGGCCAAATCAAAGATTACCAATGGCCAACTGAGCCCTAATTTGGCCATCTCAGATTTAGAATAACTATTACATCGCTTAAAGACTTTTGATTGTATTTACTACATTTTATTTATGACGATCCACTCAAATCTACTCCATTTCTTTAGAAATTTGCTTAATGCTTCAAGTATAATTCTGAATTTTTCACAACATTCAAATTCAAAGCCTAAAAATGTTTCACCAAAAGAGCTGAGTAGATCACAGTAAACGTTTATAGTGTATAGGCTGGAGTTATACTAAAGATTGGGTTGCTGTAACAAAGCCTACATTTAATTTTACAACACATTTAGCTGTTTTTTTTTTTTTTTAGTGCTTCTTATAGCGGTACATTGAAATTAACCTTAAAAGTTATCTGCAGTGCCAGTGCATAACACCGAATCCAGAGCTCAGCAGGAGAGCAAAGAGAGCTTGTTGGCTCTCTGGCAGCTGGCTTTTTCAGAAATAGAGGGAGTTTCTTCAAAATGCCTTCAAGTCTGCCTCTTATGCATTTACCCTGTGACGTAACTGTATCACTTTCCTTTTCACCCTCAAGACACTCCAGAGGAAAAAGGGTCTATAGCATCCCTATACTCCGGAGCCAAGAGTATTAGATAACATGTTGTGGAACATTCATCAGTCTTCATCTTCGCAAAAATAAAGTTTGAAGGGACCAGATTTGGAAATATTAATCCCAATTTCCTGGAGAAATACATCTTTTCGCTGGTTCTTGTCCTCAAATTTTCTCTGTCACTCGTCCAGCATTTCATTAACCAGCTGAAATGTATTACAGATACAATATCTTGGTTATCTGTAAAATTAAAGCCAGATGTGGAACTGCGCTGTTACATAAGCTGCTCTCACAAAAAACGATTATAGCGTACAAAACAGGGTGGACAAAAAAAAGCTTTTGGCTTTTCAATGGGAATTGATGTAATCTTTATTGTGAAATATGACAGGTGTGATATATTTAGAAAGTTACAAGGATATGCTTATTGGATTTCTAGCGCAAATGTATGGGCACCAATGCACTTTTATGGTAACTTTTATGCTCCTGATAGCGAGGCACTTAAGTTTAATTCACTATATTGCAATTAAATCCTAATCATGACAAACTAAATATCCCTAAAAAGGCTTCTAAACACATATTTTGTAACTGTTCTTAGTTTTTTGTTTTGCAAGAAGAGTTCAAAATTCAATTACTGTCACCCTTCAACCCGTGGGACCATTTGTTGTTACATTTTTAAACCATAATATTATAATTTAAAAATAAAGCAATCAGCACAAAATATGGTTTGAAACCTGATCATTTCTAGTTTCTAAGCATTACTTAGAATTACTTATCAAAGCATTACTTTGCTACAGCAATCCAATTGTAAAAATATCTTTTACAAGTTAAATTCAATTCAAATACCACCAAACTGCTCATATTACTTCAGAATCTGATGTCTATTTACAAATATTGTCAAGTATGAAAAAACTTGGTTCATATTTCACAGAAATAGGGGGCAAACTTGTATGGTCACTAATAGAAATTTGGAAATTGAATGTCAACTAGTGGTCATGTCTGGTTTTTATTGGTTTCTAAAATCACAGTGGATGTTATGAAGTGCACAGAATCCATCTCACAATGAGTGTGTGACCTATGTACACACATTAGCAAGAAAATACACATACTGTAAGTAATATATATATATATATATATATATATATATATATATATATATATATATATATATATATATATATATATATATATATATTGGTGTCCAAAACTGTAGTAGAGTTGCACTCAACAAATCTCTATAATGACAGTACAACCCATGTAAATTAGGGTTGTAATGATACACTGAAGTCAGGTAAATAAATAATTATTTCATTAAAGTAACGTTTGTATTCATGACAGAAATCAAAATAATTTGCTTAATTACTAATAGACAGCTCACTAAGTGTTAAATACCTATCGCAGAGTCTGACTAATATGTTTCAAATTAAATCCATTTACATAAATGTTATCAATCAGCACAAACAAAAACAACATCTCTTCTGGTCTTCGAATTCACTCAGGCTGCATCCTGAAATCACCTACTCCTAAGTAAGCACTACATTTGAATTTGAATTTACTACATGACTGTAAGAAAAGTATGTTCGATATAGTTCTATATGTGAATGTTGGTACTATGAATGGAACTTGGATGTACTACATCCGCCATTTAGTCATTATAACGTGACCTACTTTCGTCAGTTGCGTCACTTCACTCCCATTCAGGAACTCTCTTGCATGACATAATGGGATAGCGTAGTATCTATTGGATGCACCCTTTAGAGTCTTGCCAGAAGTAGTAGGTCATCCGGGTACTTCTCACATACTGTTTTTTGAATACTATGAATTCTGACACACTCGGCTCGCAAACTGTTTTTAACGTACTATATTATGGAAGTATGTGATTTCAGAAGCTGAGTCAGTCATTTTCATTCACTCGAATGAATAGTGAATGAGAGTATAGGGGAGGCTTTCAGATACAGCTCTTGATTAATTAGATCAGCTGCGATTAATTAGGGTCAGAGCTAATCTCTGCAGGATAGTAGCTCTCCAGGACCAGGTATTGGACAATCCTGGCTTACACCCACCTCATGCTGGTTCTGTCTCTTTTAAAAGAGTTGAGATGGAACAGGGAGGGTGCCAAACACACAGCGATGTTGGTAGGGGTCATTTGGTTTTCCTCCACGCAGGCGACCACCTCTTGGAGGAAGAGCAGAAGGCTTTGAAGAGCCTCCCTGTTCTCATCAGGCAGGAGGTAGATGGCTGCTTGGACCCCCACAAACTGTTGATCTTTGGGAAAGTCTGAAGAAAAAGCGAGGGCATTAAATGCTGAGGGATATATTTGAAACAGATGCCAAAGTTTGTGTTTTAACCATCAGGTTTGACAGCTTGTTACTCTCTGCGTAAATACAGTAGGTCTTTGAGTCAGATCTTTTCATTTGTTTGGACTTAAGCTGGGCTTACATTGGTAGATGTGCAGGAAGCTTTCGCACAGTTTGCTGGAAAAGATGGGTTCAGGCAGGTCTCTGAAATATTGCTTCACCATGTCTGCCACATCAAAAGCAGACTGATTTTCAAAGGACACGCCATCTGGGTCAGCTTCCACCATGTCCCTTAAATTCTGAATGCGGGACTTGACCCCAGACTTTCGAAAGAGCCCAACCTGTCAGATTTGACAAAATATGTGTAAGCAAAAGGCGATCTAAAGTAATCAGTTATACTACGCATGAATAGAAATTCAGCCAGTAACAGCCATTCGTTTAATGAATTCCATTAAGAATATGGATTTGGTCTCTCTAGGCTACATTTTTGCAAAACATGAAATCACTGGCACAATAGTTAAAGTGTCCACTAGTCAGGCAAAATTGTAATGTTTACACTCCTAACAACCATTTTAATGTGGTCATGTTATGAGGCGCCGTGTAGGATTTAAATTAAACTTTGCTTATCAATACACTCATAAAACACGTGCATATACACCTATAAAATGCTCACATATACACCTATACTATTAGATGTTCAAAACAACATATACGAAACTTTTGCATATACATATAAACTTGACGCATGCATAGACACACATACACACGCACATACTTATAAACTCAATCCTCGCATAAACACCCACATTAACACACACATACATATAATCTTGCTGGATGCAAACATACCTGTGCACACTTGCATATACAGTTGAAGTCAGAATTATTAGCCCCCCTGTTTATTTTTCCCCAATTTCTGTTTAACGAAGAGAAGATTTTCTCAACACATTTCTAAACATAATTGTTTTGATAACTCATTACTAATAACTGATTTCTTTAATGTTTGCCATGATGACAGTAAATAATATTTGACTAGATATTTTTCAAGACGCTTCTATTCAGCTTAAAGTGACATTTAAAGGCTGAACTAGGGTAATTAGGGTAACTAGGCAGGTTAGGGTTATTAGGCAAAAAGGTATTGTATAATTCTGTTTTTTTTCTTTAGACTACCGGAAAAAAATAGCTTAAATGGGCTAATAATTTTGTCTTTAAAATGGTTGTTTAAAAATGAAAAACTGCTTTAATTCTAGTCTAAATACAACAAATAAGACTTTCTCTTGAAGAACATTTTTTTATCAAAATTCTCTTGCTTTGTTAAACATCGTTTGGGAAATATTTAAACAATAAAAATAAAATCAAAGGGGGGCTAATAATTCTGACTTTAACTGCAAATATATACTCAATTCTCACATAAACACCCACATTAACATGAACATATGAACATATAAACTCGCAGCATGCAAACACACCTATACACACTCACATATACATATAAATTTGATCTTTGCAAATACACCCACATCACATGCACATTTTTTATTTTATTTTATTTTTTTACTTATTTTTTCAACTTATTTTTAAAAATTTTAATAGGAGACTACCCATAATTTTGTGAAATAGCATTTTAGATTGCATCCTATGTAAAATACCCATGATAATGTGAAGAAAATCCCCTCTCCTCTCCCCCTCGGTCTGCACTCACATTGCATTTTTACGTACCAAACCTGAGCACGCTTACATCATCGATGATGCGACTGTTCAGCTTAACAAGAAGAGAAGCACTCTCGCTCAGCACAGTGGAGATTGCTTTAGGTATACAATTTTATATTATTTCTAGTCGTTTGAGATGCCGTGACACGCAGTCAAATACTTCGCAAAACAGATCCACCACTTTTGACGCTCATAAATTATCATAAAAGTCCTCGTGCTGCGGGTATTAGGAGGTTTGCTGAAGGTGCAGCTGACATGCAATGAGGGGTTTGTGTCTTTAATAAACTATGGCAGTTTGCGTTCATTGAACAGTTAGAGTTATTAATAAATAAATAATTTGCTCACACTACAAGGCAAGCGCATGGCACCGAAGCCCAAGCGAACCAACCAGGCCATGACCAGCCAACTGAGCCATGCCTGAGCCCGATTCAGAGCACTCACACATCTCAACCGAACAGGGAAATGTGCCTGGCCATGGTTCGGATAGCATAGTAACCATAATAACTTACCATAATAACTTTTTAAACTCCGACTATACCCAGGAAGTACTACAAGTCAGATAACTGAGGTAACTTCGTACTCTCTCAAATTACTTAAATATGGATATTCCAACCTGATCTCATGAGAAAACGTGAGTATTTATTCCATTTAGTAGCTAATTTGTGCGAATTCGTACAAGTTCAGTGATACAAAATGTACTATTTTAAAAAAGAGACGTCAAGAGAAAATCATACTAAATTGTAAAAATGAGATGCAATTTCATATGGATTAGCCATTAATCAAAAAGCCACGAATTGCCGTGAGACTGTTATTTATATATTTCCACGTTTTAATAATCTTGAAGTAACTTGTTTTAATACATAACAAATAATTTTTTTTAACCCTAACCATCTTATACCCAGTATTGGGGAGGTTACTTTGGAAATTTAATAGCAAAAACAATTTACCCTATTTAAAATGTAATAAGCAGTGTACCTTTTTAATTACTTTATAAAGTAAAGTAACTGATTACATCTGATTACCTTTTGATTACTTTTAATTGTTTAATTATTATTTTTAACTAAATCATTTTTCAAGCATTTATACCAAGCAGGTGTGACTTTACAGTAGCTCGGTTTGCTATTAGAATTTCAAAATCTTTCATCACTTGAATTAAGATTATATTCATTTATTTTTAAGTACAGCCACCACAAAACCAGACCTTATTACAAAAAATTGTTTACTGTTGTTACAAAATCTAAATTTTAGTTAGTGGTGCAGGATGATTTTTGTGGCATTTGCAATCAAAAAATACATCTAAGCCATTTTTGCCATTTTCATTTTTAAATCAAAGCAGCTTAAATCCAAATGAATCAAATCTTAGTGATCAATAAAACTGTCAATGAAACACATGAGGGATACTTGTTTAGTTCAGTTGTTTACTGCTATTAATATGCTGTACCAAACAGAAACAATTTATAGTATATAACAACAAAACAAAAAATGCAATAAAACCAGGTGTTACACATTTAAAATACTATAGTAATTTATAGTGAAGGGAAATATTTGGAAATGAGCATTATATTTTATATATATTTACAACTTTTCATTGATAAATTACACTACATAGTATCATTAGAAACTATCATGAACTAATAGCAATTAGCATAGTATACTTTAGCCTGTTCTAGAATAAACTATATATTTATATTTATCAATCCGGGGTCACCACAGCGGAATGAACAGCCAACTTATCCAGCACACTTATGCAGCGGATGCCCTTCCAGCCGCAACCCATCTCTGGAAAACATTCACACACACATTCACACGCACACTCATACACTACGGACAATTTAGCCTACCCAATTCACCTGTACCACATGTTTTTGGACTGTGGGGGAAACCTGACCACCCGGAGGAAACCTACACGAATGCAGGGAGAACATGCACACCCCACACAGAAACACCAACTGAGCCGAGGCTTGAACCAGCGACCTTCTTGCACTACCTACTGCGCCACTGCTTCGCCCATATATATATATATATATATATATATATATATATACACACTGTATAGACCTCCTCTCCTTCAGTCATCTTTCCATTAAGAAAATTTCAGAATTTCGGACAGACCAGAGGGAGAATTGGCAGTAACACAAAAAAAATTTGTTGTTGACCACCGAAAAACATGTTGAAGAAAAAATCATCCCTTTCACCATCATATGGCTTTATTTTCATCCACTAGACACCGGCCTCACAGCTCTGTGAATGCTGGTGTTCTCACTTATTGATCCTCTGTTGGATAAATGTAGCTTGTGTGGACGCTACAGCGCTACTTGACTAAAAAAATAGCTTTGCTACTGATAAGCTATTTGATTTAGAAAGTAGCTACGCTACCGCCATGCTACTGAGAGATGTAGTTATAGCAGAATAGCACCCCTTTTATAAATGGCCTTAGCAGAAGGCATCGTGCAGATAAAAATCTACAGTTAATATTATTCAACATATGCCAGATTTTTTAAAGAAAATGTTTAGATGTAACCCCATTTGTAATCTTTAACATTTTCATAAGTAACTGTAATTTAATTACACATTTTGTCTCCTGTAAAGAATTACTGTTACTTTAATTTTGTAATTAAATTACATAACGGCGTTACATCTAACTAGTTACTCCCCAGCACAGCTTATACCTTTATCTTTTTGTACAATTACCATATATGGATTGTGTCAAATGAAAAATTCAATGTGTTTTGATTCACCTAATAGTAGGTTTGTTTGTTTTATGGCTAATAACATTTTAAGAAAGACCCCCCCCCCACCCCCAAATAAATAAATAAATAAATATAAATAGAATATTTAAGAACAATCGCTGCTGTAAAGTGCTCTCTTTGTTTAGCCACTTAATGGATTTCATACCTGATCTAAGCACTTGGTCCTTAAGAACTCCATTGCTCTCAAAATGCTCGGTGGCAAAGGCTTCCCCGACTGCTGGACACTCTGTAGCAAAGGCACCTCAAACACTTTTCTGCTCTTATGTTCTGAAGGTTTAACCTTTCGGTATAATTTTGGCACAGTCCTAAAATAGAAAAAGAACAGAATGATGTATTTTCAGCTAGTCACCAGCATTACTCGCGTACATTTATCTGAGATAATGAAGTGTTGAACTGAATTGAAGGAAGGGTATATTTAGCAGATCACATTAACCATATTAGCAGTGTTGTGAGGCCTTCATGCACTTCGCCATCAGTGATAAATGTGGCACGTGTTGAACTGACATTTCATTTGTTTGTTGTAATAAGCTTCATGTTATTTTCTCAGAGCTTAAGCAATCTAATAGTGTAGAAGTAAAGCAATTAGAATAGATGTAGTGGTTTTAATCTTTGAGTACATATTGGCCTGCTGGCGAAAGGCTCCTGATGAATCTCCAACTGTCCTTTTGGTTTAGCAAAGCCCATATTGATTTACATTCTGAAAGGCCTTTTATCATTAGACAGCCATTTTGCTGCCATGACCATAGGCTGTGTAGTAGGGAAGATAACCTGACAGCTATTTAGAGCTTGCTTTTCATTATTTCTATATAAATCAAGTTCAGGGACCTTGAGATAAAACTTCAAAGCCAATTAAATTTGCTTTTGCCGGAGCTGACTAATTTGACAAAAATTGGATTTTAAAAATTTCATATCGTTTAGTTTCTCTTGATAGCGTTAGCCTCAATTACCCCTTCATTTCTCTTCAAGCCTGACTCTCCTCGCTATTAAGCTGCGTTGTTCAATTAAAGACAATATCAATATACACCTTATTCCATTTGCTCAATTACGTTTCCCTAGTGGCTCGGTGCGGTTGTTTAGATTCAAAAGGCTACATGTTTAACACAAATTTCCAATAACTAGTCTCATATATTGTTTATTGCAGAAGAAAAATGTCTTGAATCAGCGGCTTATGTGAAATCAGCAAGCTGACAGTGAGGATGCTGAATGCTCAAGCAAAGCGATCAATGTGAATGTGGGGGCAGAGTTGAGAGTGTTGTTTCTTTTGTAGTTAGCTCAGTGGTTGTTAAAACAAATAGCCTAATTACTTCTCTCCCAAAAAAGTCAATTATCCTCTCCTCTTCGCCTTAAGCGATTGTTTTTTTGTCCATTTAACTACAGAAATGCATAATGTCAAACATGTTATTAATTGCTCTACGGGGAGCTCAGTTCTCTGATTTGGGTTAAAATATCAAAGGGAAGGTTGGTATGAAAAGCACTAAGCAAAAGGCAGATAATTGCTATTATCCTCATATCTTTTCAAATAGAAATGTGCTTCATGTTTGGTGACTTAGGAAGGTTGTTAATTAGCAGTTAATAAGCATTTTCACTGTATTGCACTTATCCAGTTGCTTAAATAATTATATACTTATGGGAAGTTAAACTGGGAGTCTCACATTGTGAAGTTTATTTATAAACTAAATTTGAGAGGATCACATGCTTATGATTGGCTAAGGCTGATCCTACATCAACCAATACATGATTCGCAAATCAGACCATTCATACGTCACTATAGATAACGTTCGAGGTTACAGAAGTAACCCTTCGTTCCCCGAGGAGGGGAACGGAAGTGCCATGAATGGGAGGATTCGGATCAGAAGCCGCTTATCTGGAGAGTATTGAACGGGCCAATGAATGAAATTAATTGGCAGCGTAAGCTTGCGCAGGTGTGCGACATCTGCAATCATCTCAGCATATAAGCACACCTGAAGCCAGCAGACGCCATCCTTTTAAGCTGAAGAGACTTTCAAACAGCTAAGGGACAGTCATTATGGTGACGGAATATGGCACTTCCGTTCCCCTCCTCGGGGAACGAAGGGTTACTTCTGTAACCTCGAACGTTCCCCTTCGGTTGGGGAACTTCAGTGCCATGAATGGGAGAATATGGAAAGCGCCATAATGACTGCACCTTACCAACACCCCCGATGAGGAGATAGTCAAGCAAGCGTGACGCACCCACATCATGGGGGGCGCGGTCCTCCAACGTGTCCCTGGCCCTAATTTATCCTACTTCAACAGAAGTTTTACGGATTTAGATATATTTTTTGGGAAGTCGTGAGCATCTAGATAATTCTAGGAAATACGACAGTACGTTGGGAAGCGTGCAATCCCGATAGGGAGGACGCTGCGGAGGCCATCCGTTACCCAAGGGGGGGATAGATGGCAGAATTACCTATGGACTAGCCCTAAAAAGGGGGAGTACGCATAGCAAAGAGTGGTTAGCGGAGAGGGAAGACACGGGTCCGCCCAGGGGGGGGACTTAACCGTGGCGGAATAAGCATATGGGATCGCCTAGTGGGGATCACGCATAGCAGGCACCTATACCCAAAACGCGGGCTGACCAGCGGGCAGACCTACAACGTAGTGGACCAGCAAGTGACTCCTCCGCTGAGTCAGTGCTGGGGGCCACGGAGGAATCTGCAGGGCTCACCTGACGGGGAACTTTACTGACAGATAAAAAAGGCGCACGTACCTCCGTGTTAGGGAGAATGGCGCAGCAAGCGTGTTTCAACACCCTACCGAGTTGTCTCCTCAATCACCAAAGGGTTACCTAATACCCTTGAGGAAACCGGCTCCACTCGCAGATTGTAAAACCTTGCAAATGTGTTGGGTGTCGCCCAGCCCGCAGCTCTACAGATGTCTGTTAGAGAGGCGCCGCGTGCACGCGCCCAAGAGGATGCAACGCTCCGAGTGGAGTGTGCACGTACTCCCGGGGGACACGGCTGACCTCGACTCGAATAAGCGAGTGAAATGGCATCCACAATCCAGTGGGATAATCTTTGTTTCGATACGGCACTTCCCTGCTGCCGACCGCCATAACAGACAAAGAGCTGCTCAGATGATCTAAAATTCTGAGTACGGTCCACATAAATGCGCAGAGCGCGAACTGGACAAAGTAAAGAAAGGGCTGGGTCTGCCTCCTCCGGGGGCAGCGCTTGCAGGTTCACTACCTGATCTCTAAAGGGGGTGGTAGGAACCTTGGGCACATAACCGGGGCGGGGTCTCAGGATAACGTGAGAGTAATCCGGCCCGAATTCCAGGCACGAGTCACTGACCGAAAATGCCTCCAGGTCCCCGACCCTCTTGATGGAGGCCAACGCAACCAGCAGAGCTGTCTTCAGGGACAGAAATCTTAGAGATACTGATTCGAGTGGCTCAAAGGGATCGGATCGCAGACTCGTGAGAACGAGGGCGAGATCCCAAGAGGGCATGAGAGGGGGGCGAGATGGATTAATTCGCCTAGCACCCCTAAGGAACTGGATGACCAGGTTATGCTTTCCCACGGTGCCGCCAGCTACCGCGCTATGATAAGCGGAGATGGCGGCCACGTAAACCTTGAGAGTGGAGGGCGACAGCCTGCTGTCCAACTTCTCTTGAAGGAAAGAGAGCACAACACTAATCTGGCAATTTCGGGGGTCTTCTCTGCGAGAGACGCACCATTCAGTGAATAGACTCCACTTCAGGGCGTAGGCGCGCCTCGTGGAGGGGGCTCTAGCCTGAGTGATGGTATTAACCACCGCAGTCGGTAGGTTACCTAAGTCTTCCTCGCGTCTAGGGACCACACGTGGAGGTTCCAAAGATCGGGGCGAGGGTGCCAGATGGTGCCCTGTCCCTGAGAGAGTAGGTCCTCTCTCAAAGGGATCCGCCAGGGGAGGGCCGTCGCGAGGAGTGAGAGCTCTGATATCCAGGTCCGGTTGGGCCAAAGGGGCGCAACTAGCAGAACCTGTTCCTCGTCCTCCCTGACCTTGCACAGAAACTGCGCGAGCAGGCTCACTGGGGGAAACGCATACTTGCGCATGCCCCGAGGCCAGCTGTGGGCCAGTGCATCCGTGCCGAGAGAGCCCTCGGTCAGGGAAAAAAACAACTGGCAGTGAGCGTTCTCGGGGGAAGCAAACAGATCGATCTGGGCCTCCCCGAATCGCGCCCATATCAGCTGAACAGACTCGGGGTGGAGTCTCCATTCTCCAGGGCGTAACAGCTGTCGTGAGAGCGCATCGGCTGCACGATTGAGCGTGCCTGGGACGTGAATGGCGCGCAGCGATTTCAGCCGCGGGTGACTCCAGAGGAGCAGACGGCGGGCGAGCTGAGACATGCGGCGAGAGCGCATACCCCCCATGCGGTTGATATACGCCGCCGCCGCCGTACTGTCCGTCCTGACCAGCACGTGTTGCCGCTCCAGCACCGGTAAAAAGCGGTGGAGAGCGAGGAACACTGCCAACAGCTCTAGGCGATTGATATGCCAATGCAGCTGGGCACCCTTCCAGAGGCCCGCAGCCGCATGCCCGCGACACACGGCCCCCCAACCCGTGTTGGAAGCGTCTGTTGAAACAACAACATGGCTGGACGCCTGTCCTAGAGGCACACCGGCCTGTAGGAACGAGGGGTCGTTCCAAGGGCTGAGGGCGCGGCGACACAGCGCAGTAACCGAGACCCGGTGTGTGCCCGCGTGCCATGCGCGTCTGGGGACCCGATCGTGAAGCCAGTGCTGAAGTGGTCTCATATGGAGCAACCCGAGCGGCGTGACGGCGGCTGCGGATGCCATATGCCCCAGGAGCCTCTGAAAGAACTTCAGTGGGACCACTAGTTTGCTGTCGAGCTCCCTCAGACAGTTCAGCAACAGGCGAGCGCGTTCCTCGGAGAGGTGCGCTACCATGGTGATCGAGTCCAGCTCCATCCCGAGAAAAGAAATCCTCTGCACGGGGGCGAGTTTGCTCTTTTCTCGGTTGACCTGAAGCCCCAGTAGGCGGAGATGCCGAAGCACCTCGTCCCTGTGCATAATCAATTGCTCCCGTGAGTGGGCTAAAATCAGCCAGTCGTCGAGATAACCGAGTATGCGAATGCCCGCGAGCCGAAGGGGCGCTAGGGCACCCTCCGCGAGTTCGGTGAAGACCCGCGGAGACAGAGAGAGCCCGAAGGGGAGGACCTTGTACTGCCACGCTCGACCCTCGAACGCAAACCGCAGAAATTGGCGGTGGCGTGGAAGAATGGAGACATGGAAATACGCGTCCTTCAGGTCTATGGCTGCAAACCAATCCCGAGGACGAACGCATTGGAGAATGCGCCTCTGCGTGAGCATTCTGAACGGCAGCTTGTGCAGACAGCGGTTCAAAACGCGCAGATCTAGGATTGGCCGTGACCCACCGCTCTTTTTGGGTACGATGAAGTATGGGCTGTAAAACCCACTCTCCATCTCGGCTGGAGGAACCGGCTCGATTGCACCCTTCGCCAGGAGGGCAGCAATCTCCTCTCGCAAGACAGGGGCGGACAGGGGGTTGACCCTGGAGAAATACACGCCCGTAAACTTGGGGGGCCGTTTCGCGAACTGAATCGCGTAACCGAGTCTGATTGTGCGTATGAGCCACCGCGAGGGGCCGGCCCGCGCTAACCAGGCAGGCAGAGCCCTCGCTAATGGAGTCATCGCTACAATCGCTGACGTACCAGCGGTGGGGCAGCGCAGAGTGGGTGTGCTGATCCGGGAAGCACGAGGGTCCCGCGGAAAAGCTGGAGGAGAGCGATTCGCTCTGGCTCCGCACCCTGACTCCGGAGAGGGGGCTGGAGGGCTGAGGGAAGGGAGACCGTCCCCCCAGCGCTCGTGAGCCACTGGCGAAACACGTAGAGTCTGCGAGCCGGAAGGCAGCGCGTCCCGGACTGGCAGAACTCGTGCAGTCACATCCGGGGAAGGGAAAAAGTGCTCTTTTACTGATGTTTTGGTGGCACTGAAAAGTACCGTTGTTATCGGGGCCCCGCCCTCCAGCGGGGAAAGAGCAAGTTTCCTCTTCTCCGGATGGCCTGTCTCAGGGACGCTTCGCGGTCCGTTTACCGGACTTAACGGCGCCCTGGGCAGGAGGGGCTGCCTGCTTTCGAGGTGAACGCCGCGCCCGCTTGGCCGGAGGCGCAGGCGGGGGCGGGGCAGCACTCGTTGGCGGGCGCCCTCGGCGAGGAACAGCGGAGGTGGATGGCTCGGCGGGCGGAGCGGGCTTACGGCCACGCCGATAGATGACATTGCCCATCGCATCCGACTGCTCTTTCACCGCCTTGAATTCCTGGGTGAATTCACCGACGGTGTCGCCGAACAGGCCAGCCTGGGATATGGGCGAATCAAGAAAGCGAACTTTGTCAACGTCGCGCATATCGGCCAGGTTTAGCCAGAGGTGGCGTTCCTGAACCACAAGTGTGGACATCGTCCTCCCCAGCGCACACGCGGCGGACTTAGTAGTCCGAAGAGCATAGTCGGTCGCGGTGCGCAGCTCATGTAATAAGCTTGGGTTGGACCCGCCCTCGTGCAGCTCGGCCAGCGCCTGCGCTTGGTAGCGCTGGTAGGTGGCCATCGCGTGCAAAGCAAAAGCAGCCTGGCCCGCAGCCTTATAAGCTCTGGCTCCGAGGGAGGCAGACAACCTACAGGCTTTGGACGGGAGGCGGGGCAAACCCCGCCACGTAGAGGCGCCGCGCGGACAAAGATTGACCGCGATAGCGCGCTCCACTGACGGGATCGCCTCATACCCCCTGGCAGCTCCGCCGTCAAGGGCGGTGAGGGCGGAGGCACTCGCAGCACGGGCAGAGAAAGGTGCCCTCCAGGACTGCGTGAGCTTACTGTGCACTTCCGGGAAGAAGGGGACGAGAGGCTTCGAAGGCTTCGCCTTCTGGTCCTCTACGTAGCACCCATCTAGTCGGTCCGGCCGCGGAGCTGGGGGATAAACCATCTCCAACCCCACGGCCGAAGCAGCCCGGGAAAGCACGGCTAACATGTCCGCTTCAGGATCCTATTTGACAGCGCTCACCTGCCCGGAGGGGGCGAGCGGGTCCGGATCTTCGTCAGACAGTGAAAGCCCACCCTCCGATGCCGCGGAGGACATCTGATCTCCGGTGTCAGCGAGTGTGAGAGCTACCATCTGGTTAGACGGATCACTCTCACCACCCGAAGCTTGGATGGAGCGCCGTGAGGAGCGAGAGGTCCGCGAGCCCGTGGGCGGCGGATTAGCTCCCGCTGAAACCCTCAGATCTGCCCGAGCGCCCGCTGCTTTTTTAGAACAGGAGGCAACTGGGGTGGCTCGCTCTCTTGCGAAAGTTAGCCGCGATCTTAGCTGTGCAACGGTCATGGCATCGCAATGACGACATGAACCGCCCGCGAGCACCGCATTAACATGCTGGACCCCCAAACATGCAATGCAGTGATCGTGTCCATCATCCGGAGACAGGAAACCCCCGCATCCAGAAACGCACAGTCGGAGCGCCATCCTGAAAAGGACGTGCTGCACGACTGTGTTGCTCTTTTAGGAAAGTTGCAACTATACGCACCGCTCTGGAGGACCGGACCCAAAGAACCGCAGGCAAGGGAGTAACCCAGCTCGACCGTCTGCCACCGCGAAGACCCACTCTGGACCGGGAGACACACTCGTTCGCTCTGAAGTGCTGATCAGCAAGAGGAACCCTCATCGACTCACTCAGAAAGGATCTGAAGCGAAAAGGATGGCGTCTGCTGGCTTCAGGTGTGCTTATATGCTGAGATGATTGCAGATGTCGCACACCTGCGCAAGCTTACGCTGCCAATTAATTTCATTCATTGGCCCGTTCAATACTCTCCAGATAAGCGGCTTCTGATCCGAATCCTCCCATTCATGGCACTGAAGTTCCCCAACCGAAGGGGAACCAGGGTTTCATACCTTAGTTATCAGTAGTGGCGCAAGCTTAACTGGTGCTCTAGGTAAACCATGGTCATGCCGCCCTCACAGTGTATGTGATGAGCCAGGGGTGGGGTGGGGGGATCTTGATGCCACCCTCAATCGCCAACATTGCCTACGCCTAAATCTGCCACTGTCAGTTATCTTTTTCATGAAGAATCCCCCTTCCACCTCTAATCCTCCATCTTCTCTGATATATGGCAGCATGACGGCCCGTTGAATTGACTAAACCAAAATTGGCACACCAGACGAGCTCTTAGCCAGCATTATATCTCTCAATAGCAATCCCTAATTTGTCTTTAGCCATAAACAGTAGGGGAGTTCTCAAGATCTAACTGAGCAAACGGGAGCGAGCCCCGGGCTCGAGGATCTTATTTACTCAGGGCTCTTTCCAGGAGAGCTTGCCAAACACGCTTCATAATTAGTCCAGCTAAGTGTGAACTCTTGAAATTTGATGGTACAATTCTTGTTACTTACATGCCATTAACTAAGATTTTACCTCAATTAATGCAAAATTGCTCTCGCATCTTGTCAGAAAAGTGGCTAATTTGTATAAAAGGTGGCTTTTTTAAAAGGTGGCATGCCTCTAAACCCTATCCTTACCCCTCATTGTGGGATGAGAAAATGAGAGTCCAAATTAATACAAAGTAGCCTTTAAATCATAATGATTGCTGTGAGGTTGCATTGTAATTTTTACTTATGCTTTACTTTACTTATGTTTCCGAACATAAATGGACTGATTTTTACAAATAATATTGTTTTTGTTATCATTTTGAAGGATATGATGCAATAGCATGGCAAAATCACATTGTGGGAGTAGTAAAAAAAAGAGCAAGGCTCTGCTGTGTCATGCAGTAGTGGCATGAAGGGGTCCGCTTGTTTTCATTGCTATTAAACTCACTACTCTTGTAACCTTGTCTATTTTGTCTGCTGAGAGATTTTACAAGGTTGCAACCTAGCATGAATAATGAATGAATCTCTAAACAGCAGGTTCTAAACTCGTTCCTTTTCCTTTCTCATTGTCTCATTTTAGTAAGCCATCCACTTTTACTAGATTATGTCTTTCCCACTTTGCTTCTCTACCTCCCCCCCTTACTTTGTCTTACCAGTTCCAGCCTTGTTTGCTGAAGGGTGAGTGCTTGTCCATCAGAGCTGTTAGTCTGAGAAGGCTGAGTCTTTGCAGCATAGAGACATGTGCTGCTGATTTAGCCTCTATGCCTGTTCCGGGGCTGCTCAGTGAAAGCATCTGTGCACTGGACCAGTGGGGCCTCTGAATTCTGAAATGTAGGAAATCAAGCAACCTCTTTATAAATAGGCTTTGAAAGAGCATGATTAATGATTTTGAAATTGTTTTAAAAGTATGAGGGATCTACACCAGATCGCTAGCATGTTCAAGAATAAGACTTGTTTCAACAGACTTAATGAAATGGTGTCTCTTACCGATCAGTATGCTCTGTAGGCTGAGCAGTGCATTCAAATGCTTCTGGGCTTTTGTTGTACATCTCCTCTAGGGCAGCTTCATCTGTCTCTTCTGGCTCTTTGATCTCAAGGTGGATGTCAGTCAGAGAGGAGGGCGATGGAGAACCCGAGTGCGAAAAATCGGAATCCCCGTCCTCTGACAGCTTGTCCGTCCAAGAGGTTACCAACTGCTGTAGGTCACAAATGCGTTCCATTACGCTGTCCAAAGCTGAGAAGACATCATCGTCCAAAATCTGCACGGGATCTGGGACATTGTCGTAAAAGCTGACACGGTGATCGGAAGAAGCCAGCGGGCTGCAAGCTTGTTCCTGGTCCTTGGAACTATTGCTTTTACAACGCCTGCCTCGGTATCCATGGAAGCTTCCGGTCCTCCAGTTGACTGAAGTGTTGTCGATAGGTAAGAAGGCATTGTTGTGGGAGAGCACCGTTGGGAATGTTCCTGGCTTGTGTCCGTGAGGGATTTTAAAGACAGGATTGACTTGCTTGTTGTTGAAATGCTGTGTGTTGATTTGTTCCTGTTCAACTTCTTGTTTGAGAACACCAGGACGTTTGCAGTTGCTGCGTACTTTAGTCACGGGGCTTGGCGTGCTGACTGCGCTGCTGCTTTCTGAGGTACTACTGGATCCAGAGGGAGGAGAGCAAGATGCAGGACTTTCAGTTTTATTCTGAATACTTGCTAGGTCTAGACATTGAAGATGCTTTAATGTTTCCTCATCAAAGCCTTCTTGGATAATCGGTCCACTTATGACAAGTCTGGCTTTACCACTGTGAGATTGTGACTGTTGTGTGCTCCCTCTCAATCTTAGTTTCTCCATTTTCCGAAGTAGGCCTTTGCCTTTTTTTAATGGGGGCTTTTCAGGAAGGAACTCTTCACTGCTCAAAGTGTGGTGTTCGCTTGGGGATGGAGGTCTACTGGAGGAGGTGTCAGGAGATTGGGGCTTGTAGTTTGATGAGCATCTAGAGGAGCTACGGCTTGTTTCAGGTTCTTCTGTCGTTTTGTTGGGAGCGCTTCCACCATCGCTGTCATTATTACTGGAACTATGAGTGGAGCAAAGCTCATGGCATTCCCCATTGTCGGAAAGAGAGGCCTCACAGCTTCCAGATCTCCTCAAATTTGAAATGGGGCCCCTCAGTGTGTGAGGTAGCTCCCCATCGTCTTCCCGGATCCAGCGCCTGCTCTTCCTGTCGAATGTCCATTTTGGGCTGATGGCATAGAGGTCTTCTTCCTCCTCTTCATCTCTCTACATGATCAAAATGATTTGTTATACACACCAAAGGACAGGGGGAAGGAAACTTTTCCCCCCAGGCATTCTTTTGTTTATACGCAGTGTTTACATGTATCTCCTCCAGAGTTTTCTCACACACTCACCCTTCTTTTGGAGCGACTCAACTCCAGCTTCATCTCCACAGACTTGTTTAAGGTACTTAATCTCCTGAAAGCAAAAGACAACATTCACGTCAAACAGGAAGACAGCATGACGTCCCTCAAATTCCTCCTGCTGTGATTAGGAAGAAACACTCATTTTATGTCAGCATGGAACATGCTCGTGCAGCCAAGGGGTGAGAACACTACCTGCAGAGAGAATCTAAGGCATCCTTATCCAGAAAATCGTAATCACTCTTTACCCAATCTATGTCAATAGGGAAACAGCAATCTAAAGGGTAAACAAAGCAGAGTTGTGATACAACAATATTTGCATTTTGTTAGGACACATGGTTATAGTATACATCGAGAAATGTTAAAAAAGTAAATACTTACCAGTAAATAACTGTGCATACTGAGGAAAGCCAGCCGCATGAAGCCAATCGCAAGCTTCCTTTGCTTCAATCTCTGCAAAGAGAAACAGTGCATATTAAGTATGTCATTTCTAGTTGTTTAGCTTTTATGAGGCAAACCCAGCCAACTATTACCACTTAATTCAATTGAATTTGTTTAATTAACATTGAAAGAAGAACATTTGATTCCAAAGCCACTTTAATCCACCCCTAGTTTATCAACCATCCTCTCATTTCATTAATTTCCTGTGGATTAAAAGTGGAGGCTGGCTAATTTGCTGCTAATTGAATGTCTTTGACATTAACATGTTTGACCAGGAGAATGCAGCCAGCAGACATTGCTATTCCTGTGCCACACATTCACTTTCGCATTTTTAGATTCTTTCCTAAAGTATCACTGCCAGGAACAGATGGTAGAAACAAATCCTTTCTTCGTACTGACTGGCGATCCATAAAACCTTACGTAGGATTCTATCTTTCCCATAAGCAGTGAAGGGGTCAGAGGAAGACAGCTGGATATGTGCTACAAAGAACAGATGGCTCAGATATGTAAACATAGGGACTGAGTTAACAATGCCACTCCCTGCTTTGACGCAGAAGTGTCCTGTAAAGGACGGTGCTGGGTGCGATGGCCCCATGTAGCTGTATTGCAGGTGACATGCAGGTTAGCGCTGCTGCTTGCTGTTAGTTTGTCTTACCACAGCTTATCAGGATTGCTGAATCTTGGCCTGGATAAATGAGCTCTGCTAATCCAAAGTTTTGCAGACAGTGGGTGAGAATTTGGAAGCCAAATTGTCGGAAATGTGTGCATACACTCATGCTGGTAGCTGACGCAATAACAACTACCTCTGCAAATGACTCTCTTCCAGCCATTTTTGAGAACGCATGGGAATTATATAAGCGTGATCATATCACAAGGCTCTCCACTGTTTAATAGAGCTGAGCAGGGAAAGGCACTTCCTTTTCCAAATACCTCAGGCGGCCCTACAGGAAGTCGTGCTTTTAGGGTTTGGATGCTGATAACAGATGTGGCTTGTGATTGTCCTCCGCCCACCCTAGAGGTCTCTGGAAGCCTACAAGCTTCTAAATGGTCTGGGAGGGTCTTGGCTAATGGTGGTACGTGCTGCACAGGCTGTAAGCTATGAATGATACAACACGCCGCTAGATTGGTTTGCTGATACCTCCCTTCCTCTTTGCAAGAGGCACATAGAAGCTCCAGGTTCTATAGAAGCCACCTAATAAAGTGCTACAGCAGGACCCCTGGGGTCTTCAGCAACTGCCATAAACAGCTACCTTCAGAGGAGCACTCAGAGAGTCGATTGACATGAGAAAAGCATCTGTGGGACCCCTGAGGGGTGGAGAACATCATGTTTGGCTGACAGCTTGAACAGGTCTAACCTTGAGAGTCTTGACGGAGCTCAAGCAGAGCAACCTTTAGCTTTTGAATAACTTGAGAAAGAGATTCAGGTTGCGTGAAAAGTCTAGGGAAGCATGTGTGTGTTAAGATACAAAAAACTGTTGGTGTACTATACAGTATGTGCATTTCTATAAAAGTAAAAATAATGCATTGAGTATGTTTAGCACAATTTCACTTTTATAAAACCTGGATTTATTTTTGAGATGATTAACGTACATTTCACCTTGCGATATACCCGCAGACTTTTGTAAAAATGCAGAGAATGTGCAAAAAGTGACATCATAAATAGGTCAGTCCTATTTTCTAGAAAAATTTTCTCATATTGTTAAATGTTCGTTTCGACCACAAGTGTAGCGCCCCAAAACTCAAGTCAACTGCATATCTACCGTGCTTTTTTTGTACAAAGCTAATTGTGTCAAGGCACCTTTGCTGAGCAAATAGAGCAACAGACAAGAGAAAATGATGTACAGATTTGTATGAAGCATATTGGATGGATTCAATTCAGCAATATGATGGGTTTTGTTTGTTAGTTAGTTCAATGACTCATTCAGTTCAAGATAAATGGTCAAGATAGATGGTCTGCTGCTCCAACATGAGTGATCAAAACATTTTTCTAAAAAAAAACTAGAAAAAAAGCAGCCATTGACAGCCATAGTAGGAGCAAGCAAAATATTATCGAAGTCAATGGTTTTTCGGAAGAAAGAAACTCAACAATTGGGGGAACAGTATAAATGATGGCAGAATATGAACTCTATACACTATATATAAGTCTCTGTACACTATTTAAAAAAAATGTTTCCCACAATTCTTTCATGTTGTCTCAACTAGGCATGGGCCACTATAAGATTCTGATGGTATAATAACCTTGAATAAAAATATCATGGTTTCACGGTATTGTGATTACTGCTCTAAAATATGTTCATTGTAAATATCTGGGTAAAAAAACTAAAACGTTTTTGCCCCTAGGACACAATATGTTTTATTTTGAGAAACATATTTTGGAGGAGTAAACATGTTGGTAAGCATGTTCTGCTGTCTTTGTTTAAAAAACCCAAATTTATTTACAATTTAAAACAGCATCTTTGTACATCTTTTCTGTTGGTACCACTGTTGTCCTGAAAAGAAATTAATAAAATAAATAAATAAATAAATAAATAAATAAATAAATAAATAAATAAATAAATAAAATATCTTACACATACCTTAGGAACAGTATAGTAGAAAATTTTGGTGGTTTTAAAACCTTGACTTTTCCAAGCCATGGTATACCTTGAAAACATTAATCGTCCCATGCCTAGTCCCAACACAAATTGATTAAGTTAACTTGTTTTTACAGATTTAAATGGATTGAACATAAAACTTCTAAATTGTGTTGTTTCAACTCATTTAAAATAAATTTAAACCAATTTGAATTTAAACAAGCAGCAAAAGTCATTCTCAGAGTATTAACAGCCTGTTTTTCACTGAGCGCCCTGCTGAATAATCCAGCTTAAACCAGCCTAGGCTGGTTGGCTGGTTTTAGCTGGTTGACCAGCCTGTTTTTTTAAGGGGTTTTGGCCATGTCCAGGAAAATTACCAGCTAAATCTAGTTAAAACCAGCTTGACCAGCCTGGTTTAAGCTGGACATTGCTGGTTTTGGATCGGCTCCCAGCCTGGCTAGGTTGGTCAAGAGGGTTTTAGATGGTCATCTCTCAGCCTGACCAGCTAATACCAGGCTGGAAATGGCTTGAAACCAGCCTGGAAATGGCCAAAACCCCTCTAAAACCAGCCTGGTTGACCAGCTAAAACCAGCCAACCAGCCTACTGTATTTTTCAGTAGGGTTCTACAGTACAGTATGGTTCGGTATGCTTTTATGTCCGTTTCCACTGTCAAAGGGTACCTAAAAGTGAACCGCACTGTACCACTTTTTGGTCACCCTTTGGTCTCCTAAAAAAAGGGTACCAAAAGGTGGAGCAAGATGCACAGCTGAATGCTATTGGTTTACAGAGATATGTCACAGAAACAGGTAAATTAAAAAAAAGGAAGCGCCATTTTTAAAAACACAGCCGAGACATTACATCGTAATAATATATACATATAATAACAAGCCATGGTCGACCTGAGCACAAACAAACCTTGTCATCGTCTGAAAAAACAGCAGCAAATGATGCTTTCCACAACATGAACAACATGAACAAACTGCCATCGGCTTTTGGACTTTTAGGAATTCAAAATGACGGAATTACTTACTAACAAAAGGCTACACATGCTGCTGAAGTTTACAGACACATATGAGAGGTTTGCATTGACTGTGGACTATATTTCGTGATGTTTTTTAACTGCAAATTCATAACTTTTTGATTTAGTGGTTTTTACATAAGAATGTGTACAATCTTATTCATACAATTTAGTATGATTTGCTTATCCCCCAATCACGGTTGGGTTTAAGGAAGTGGTAGGGTGTCATGCCTCAATGTTAAAATTGTACATTTTTATATGACTGAACTCGTAAGAATTCGTACAAATTAGCCACTAAACTGACAAAACGTAAAATACTTGCGTTCCCTTGTGAGACCTTGTGTTCTGTCACTCCTGGTCAACTATAATTCAGACTCAACATTGCATTTCTTGCGATTTGACTATTGTGGATGTGCACATTGCGATATCAATGCTGAAACTATATATTATATAGTCCTACTATATGCATACCTTCATAGAGTGGATCAGTATTTCTCAGTCATTAATAATTAAAATTCTTATAGTTATAGAGAATGCCAGCATACCCAAATATTTCACTGATATAAAATAAATTTTTATGATCACATATAAACTGAGAACAGGCTGAGTTCACCCTATAGTGTTTCGGGATCGTTCATCAGTTCTAAAAGTGATAAGTCACTGGAATTCTAACCGTCATCATCATTTCCAGATGTGGCACAAACGTTTTTGAGCCATGCTAGCAGATTTTCCATAACTACGAATTCGCACAGCTGTTTTCTGACTGACAAATATGCTCCATTTCATCAGCGACAGGGCTGAATTCGATGAAAAGCCTGGCATGTACTGAAAAAATGAGGTCACTGGGAAAATCGTTCAAACATTTTGTTGTTACTCCTGGTTGCTAACAACAATCTTTTCATAGATCAGATGTGCCAATGCAAAAGAGAGACCCTCCAACTTCTAAGAGATATTATAGTTATATATACCACTGTCCAGCAGTCAATATTATTGCATTACTTTCCATTTCTATTGTTAAATGCAGCTGAATCGGATCCAATTTTGTGCAATTAATGTTTAACAGTTTTAATTTTATCATATTTTTAAACATAATACTAACCCTATAGTGATCAATTTCTGTTGTCTTTGCCATGACAACAGTTCATAATATTTTACTAAATATTTTGCAAGATACTAGTATTCAGCTTGAAGTGACATTTAAAGGCTTAACTAGGTTAATTACGGAATTTAAGGCAATTAGGCAAATCATTGGACAGTGGTTTGATCTGTGTATCCATTTGGAAAAAAAATAATAAAAGAGGATACTGATATTAAACAATAGTCTGAATATTTATAAGATAAATTTATTTATTTTAGAAAACTTAAAGATATACCCCCCCCCCAAAAAAAAAAAAAAAAAAAAAAAAAAAAAAAGTAAATG